TCCGGAACTGATCAGCGTGCATCTCCGAGCGGCACGCTCTCTGCACTCAGACAGCTGAGGCCAGAGACTGCAAAGAGCATCTGGGAAAGATTCGCGCTGGGTGCCTGCCGGTGACCGCCTGCCCGTGACCGCCTGCCCTGTGATGTGACGTCAATGTGGGTGGTCCACTGGAGAGGAAGGGTAGCCGGATGCTGGAATGCCGGCCGTTCCGGTGAGGACACGGCCTGGGGGAGGAAGTGAGAATCTCACCCGGGACCCAGGCTTCCTGGTGTGAACCTGGGAGGTGACAGAGGGAGCACCAGCTCGCACCTTCTAGGAGACGGGGGTGGCCCTCGTGACCACCACTCCTGAGCCTCAACTTCTTGGCAGTGAGCCGAAGGGAGGGGAAACAGAGGCCCTCTAGAATGAAGACATCCCTGCTTGGCTTTGAGCTTCAAGCTAGACTTTTCGAAGTCTTTGGTGACATGTGGGTCATTCCCACCTTAGAAAGAAAGTCTCCTGGGGCCAGGGGAGGAGGACGGATCTACCACAGGCCAGGAGACTTGGGGACCTCTGGTCTGGTTCTGGTACCAAAGAAGCCCATTTCCCTCCCTGTGCCCAAATGCCACCCCCCTCCCCGGGGAGAAAAGTGGACTGGGGTAGAGATCCTGGAGACAGTGCTTACCTCAAGAGGACTCAGTTTTGGCCAAAAGAGTGACTAAGCCAATAATACTTAAAAGTGACCTTGAACTCCATGTGTTAGAGCGCCCCGCGAAGGGGCAAGATCACAGGGTGCTCTGGGCAGTTGGCAGTCCCAAGGCCCGTTGAGGTGTAGGCACCAGAAGAGAAGGAATTCCATTTCTGCACACATGGGACGTGGTGCATGAATTCCGAGACCCCCATCCCAGCCCAAGCCCCTTCGCACACACAGTGGGTGGTACATGCTGGGGCACAGGGTCACGTATGAGGAGGGGTCGCTAGGAGAGTCGGGAGGGGGAGAATGGAGAGCATCCTACTGAGGGGAGGCACTGCGCCAGGTCCGTGCAGCCAGAGGGACTCGGTCGCTCAGATAGGAGGACAGGGGCGGTCTCCACGACATCTGCAGTCCTGCTCGCTATCTAACCGCCCACTGGACCTCAACATCTCAAACTTAGAAAGAAATTCATCCGAGTACATCTGTAAGGTTACAAGTACAAAATCCTATAAAAAGGCATACAGAGAAGTCTCCGGACACCCTAGCCCCTGCTTACTCAGTCCAACCCCCAGAAAAGGGGATCCTCTTGCTAACGCCGGGTGTATTTTCCAAGAGCTTCTTCTGCAGCTAGAAAAGCATATTTTCTTCCCTGTTTCTCCACAAACGGTGGCCAGCTCTGCAAACCACGCTGCGCAGGGACCTTTCGGTCAAACATCCGTGTCAGCGTGGAATCCCCTCATTCCCGTCTGTTGGCCACACGGTGTTCCATCGCAGTCGGCTGGGCCGTAATTTTTTAAGAGTGGGCCCTGAGGGCTTCCCAACTTTTCTCTACAGTAAATAGTGTCGCGATGAACTGAACAAGCTGGGAAGTATTTCAGGGGGACAGGTTTATCTGCGGGGGACGTTGCTGGGAGGAAACAGCTGGCTCAGGGTGGGGGGTCCGGACATTTGTTATTTTGATAGATTTTATTCAACAACTCTCCAAAAAGGTTATGAGAGTTTACTCTCTATCCTCCCACCAGCAGGGAGGAGGGCGTTTTTGTGCCAGCATATCCAACGTGTTTTGAACTTGCCGGTCTGTCCCTCTTCCGTCCTTGGACTCAGGTCTGGGAGCAGGAAGCCCCAACCTAGCGCCCCACAAAGAAGCCCTGACAGTCATTTTGCTAAGAGAATCTGCCCCTTCTCACCCGCTTTCCTAACATCCCTGCCCTAAGCCACGGCCCCTCTCCCCTGGACACCGGGTCATGCGCCCTGGCTCCCCTCCCCTCCGGGCTCCTCCTCCAGCCTCCCCAACCATTCTGCACACAGCCCCCAGCACTGCTAAGCCAGGCACGGAACACAGGACAGGCCCCGTGGCAGGATCGGGTTCGGTGTGTGCACCTGGCAAGTCCTGGAGAGGGAAAGTCGGTTTGCCCTGCTGCAGTGTCCAAGGCTACTGGAGTCCTCGGGCAAAGTGGCTGCACACCGGGTGAGACTCCTCCCAACCCCCACCCCAGACATGCTCCTCTCATCCCTCTGCTGCACAAACCCATCTGGGCTTACTGTGCAGAAAGGAAAACAAAACATACTCCGTGCAAGCCACGGGTGTGGAAGGGAAGAACCAGTAGGCCCCCTGAGGCCCTGGTAAGGATCAATTAATTTAGAATTCACTCCAGCACATTGTTCCTGTCAAGGGGAAGGAGATACAGCCCAAATGATGAATGGTCCCCGTGAGGCTCACAGGGCTCAAAGCCACCCAGGTCTCTCTCTCAGCTGGTGACAAGCAGACAGAGCTCATTCCAAGAAATGCACCCCATTCCCGCAGGCAACCCCACGAACCTTCCTCTCCGAGGTGTTCAGAGCATTTCCTGGGGGGTGTGAGGGGGGCCTGCCTGGAGGAGGTGTGCACACCCGCCAGGCCTCCAGGTGGTGTGGCTGACATTCCTCTAACCCTTTTCCATCCTGAGAAGAAGCGAAGGTTTGGAAAATTAAACCAAGAGTCTCAAGAACGGTGTCTGCTTTCCTGAGGCATTGGTCCAATGTTCCCCCAGCCAGGGCGCCAGGCGATGCTGGGCGCAGGCTCGGAGGTGCTCGGATGCAGCCCTGAGCCAGGCCAATGAGAGCTGCAGGAGCGTCAGCCCAGAGCACTGCGGGAGGTGGGGGTGGGTAATCCGCCTGCCTGCACCCTGGCCATGCCTCCTCCCAAGGGATGGAGCTGGGGGGGGTGGTCAGGAAGGCTGACCAGGTAGTAACACCTGAGGCCCCGCAGGCAGGCAGGAGCACTGGGGCAGGGTCCTGGCTTCAGTCCTGTCTCCCCCGGTGGGACCACGGTCCTGGGGAGCAGGGTGCAAGGCAAACCCCAACAGGCTGCGGATTACTAAACGCTTTCAGTGTGTTTCCCACGCAGAGGCGTTTTCGCGGTAGTCACAAATGGCAACGCGCTCTCTGATTTCCCAGTAGCTAGAACAGGCTTTCAGGAAAAAGTCTGGTTCTTCCAGTCCGCAGGAGAGACCAAGTGGAAAGACTCCTGCCCAGAGAGGGTTTTGTAATGGGGACGGAATAAGGACACAGGTTCCCGGAGCCTGGGGAAGGTCTGGCATGAAGCGGACCCTTCGTGACGCCTCCCGCTGTTAGATTTCACGTCAAGCTCCCTTTCTGCCTCGCCGGGGCATTTGAGGGGGAAATTCTCAGAAACCGAGGTTGCTGATCATTTCCTGGAAATGATCCAGAAATGGTGGGCCCTCCTGCTGTCACACCAGTCTCCCTGGCTCTTGTCCTTAATCACTTCTAAACAGAGCTGTCTGCAGGGCAGCGGGACGCAGGACTCCGGGCAGCTCCCCTGTTTCTGGCACAGAATCATTCCAGAACCTTTTATTGTGCAAACAAAGAGACACAACAAAAGAGGTTGCGAAGTCAGGTCATGAGAGCCCACATCTGTGGGATGGGGCAGGGGACAGTGAGGACAGGGATGGGAGGAATCCACAGCCGCTGACCCTGCCCAGACTCCACAGGCTGCTTTGATCCCATAACCCCCTGCAGCCATAGGGGGCCCGTTGTCCTGACTCATGCTGAAAAAACAGGCACAGCCTCTTTGCTCAAGGTCACCCCAGGCAAACCTGGGAGTTCTCCCCAGATGTCACCAGTCGATGTCTACACATTCTCTATGAAATACAGCACGCAGGATCCACTCGACAGGAAGTGTGTGGAACTAAAGGAATATTCCTGGGAACTGGGAGGTCCTATAAAAACTCGTGTCATGGGCTTTTAACTACACCCACTAACTCAAGGCCCTGTGCCTCCGACACCCACTGTGACTGGCTGGAGAATCGCGGAGACGTTGTTGTAAGGTGCTTAGAAGACCAGGGGTACCACACGGCGGCTAATATTTTTATTAAACTTTAGCCTCCAACCTCTAAACCTCATTTCTTCTCCGATGTGAAATCCTGTTTGTAGAGTTTTACAGGACAGAGAATTTTACTCATATGATATCTGCTTTTGCAAATGTTTCCCAACACCTCTTGCCTGGAATGTTCGAGAACAGAGGCGTCCGTACCCTGGAGGAGGAGCTGACGTCCTCTGTGGGTCCACCCGATCAGGGGTCAGCCGCCACATGCCAACTGGACGACATCCGGCCCCCCAGCTGCTTTTGTAAATAAAGTCTTATTGGCACATAGCCATGCTGATTCATCACATAGCATCCATGGCTGCTTTTGTGCTACAACCCAAAAAGTTGAGTAGTTACAACACAGACCATATGACCCCACAAAGCCGAAAATATTAACTAACTGGCTCTTTTCAGAAAAAGTTAGCGGACCCCTGCTCTAAATCAAGATGAGGTGGTCAGAGAGAGCGCTGGGTAAGCTCTGATCATGTAATGGGTGCCATGATGGTTCCCTAAGCTCCCTTCTGACTACAAACCCTGCAGCTCTCTGACCTCGGATGGGATTCAGGACCACACAGTACACTCTCCTCCCGCAAAGCAAATGCTGCCTGCCACCTCCCAGACTGATTTGGTTTCTTGCTCTCTTTTCCCATAAAGCAATCCTCTCTCTCCCGCGGACTCTCCCCAGTGCATTAAGAAGAGTTTGCCAACCCTGCCTGGAGTCGGTCCAGGCTGACTGCTCCCTCTGGGTCTGCAGGCGCCCGGGGAGGGCAGAGCTCTCTCTATGTTTGCCATCAGGGCGCGCCTCATCTCAGCCTTGGCAGGGAGGTTCCCAGGCAAACAGGAAGAGGCCAAGGGCCACCGAGCCCTGGTTTCCCTGAGCCGGCTCCTTCCCGACTGGCACGTTCGTTCATCTTGCTTCTTCCCACCTATCGTCGACTGGAGCCCACCAGCAGGGAAACAGCCATGCCTTACCTCTATTGGGCCACAGGGCCCCAGAAGCACCCGGTTCCCAAGGACGCCCGCATCACCCACTCCTCCGGCCTGAGCTTCGAGCAGCTGAGGCAGGCGTGCGTGCAGAAGGGCGTCCTCTTCGAGGATGCAGACTTCCCAGCAGACAACTCCTCTCTCTTCTACAGCGAGAGGCCCCAGATCCCCTTCGTGTGGAAACGGCCAGGGGTGAGTGCAAGAGGAAGTGGCGGGGGGGTGGGGGATGTCAGGCAGGGGTGTGGGCTCAGCAGCATGGCAGAGGGGAGCAAGGAGAGGCGAGGCCAGGCAGGGGGGCTACACACAGACACATCTGTCATGCACATGTGCCAGGTCTCCTGTCGAGATGCTGTGCATTTGCAGAGAGAATGGCACACAAGGGGCATCAACCAGCAAGCCAGGGATGCTCTGAGGCCGTGCCCAGGTAGTCTGGCTACGCCACACCCCCAGCTCTCTACCTGCCATTGACGTGAGCCCAGTACTGGGGCCCAGAGCCAGAGACGGGCTTGTCATTAAGCGGTGAGTGGGATACAAGTCTCAGGGGACACATTCCATGGGAACCCAAAGGCAAACACGCAGGACAGGGTGGGACTCAGTCTTGCCCCGTGTGCTGAGGCTGCTGGGATACACGTGGGGCATCCCGTGGCTTCTGCTGCAGCCCGGATGCTCATGCTCAGCGTAGAGGGACAGTCATGCCGCAAGTGCTCAGGACCCATGGGATGGATGGAACACTCGGAAGCAGGGCCTCTCTCCCCAAGCCACGCATCCCCCTTCCCAGAAGGGAGGCAGCGTCCAAGCTGCCCCACCCCCAACCGTCTGGAGGTGACGGTCCTCGGGCATCAGCTGGAGTCAATATTTGTTGTGCTGGATTAGTCAGGCCTTGACCTCTGCCCACCCCAGGCACCATGGGCTGTCATTCCTTCCAGGTGGGGACACCTTCTGGGCGGGCTCCTAGGCAGGTTGCTATGGACAAGGAGAGTGCAAAGAGGGCTGGACAAAAGGTGGGCCCCTGAGTGCTGGTCCCACCCTGCCACTGATTTGTCCCTTGACGGTGGTCTTGGCGCTTAACTTCTCTGAGCCTCAGTCCCCTCCCCAGTGAAGTGGGAACAGTAACAACCAGTGTAGACCCAGTATCCAGCAGCCGTCTGCAGCAGGTGGCAGCTTGATGGCATGATAGCTGTGACAGGTGTCACCCCAGAGCAATGCCACCAACGGCTACATGACCTCCTCTCCGGAGCCCACACAAGCAGTGCCTGTAATGACATGAATCTGTTTAGCACAGACTTTGTCAGGATTAACACCTGCAGCCGGACGGGGAGCAGGAGTGGGCAGAGGCGGCTCTGGGCTGTCCTAAACGGTCCCTAAGTGGTCCCATAAAGCCCTCAGCCAGCTGCACGGGGTGCTCTGGAGCTGGGATGGACCCTCAGAGTCGTCTCGTGTTGGGGTGACAGCGACACCTGTGTCTGTGCCCCTCATGGATGAGTCACAGGATGCGGTACCCCCTGAAAGCCATGACCTTGGAAGAGGTGGCTCTTTCAGCACCCCTAACAGAGGGAACGCGCTAAGCCCTTCCCCACTGCTGGCGGGTCCGAGCCACGCGCCTCCCACAGCCTCACTTTCCTCTTCCACAAAATGGGGGTCACAATGCTGCCTCCCTGTGAGGCTGTTGCAAGGATTACTTTGTTAACGTGTAGAGCAGGCAGAAAGGAGCCTGTAAGTAAGTGTCCGTGACCGTGGTCACTACTACTCTAATGGCATCCAGACACCCACCCCTCCCGGGTGGAGGAAGGCACCTGCCTTGCGGTCTGCACTGCCACCCCCTGGCTTAATGTGTAATTCCGCCCCTGCATGCCACTCCCCTTCTTGCCAAAGCTGGAATTTCTCCTACAGGAAAGCTGTGTGCACACAGGCCAGCATGAACAATGCCGCTGTTCCCACTTGTGCAGTGGAGTGAGGGCCCCGGGGCCTGAGGGAGTCCAGAGTCCCAGATCTCAGCTCTAGGAGGTGGTCCTCCCCACTACTGATCTCTCTCAGGGTTGCCCCAAAGGATGGGTGAGGCCGTCCTGCCTGCCCTCCACCCCCAGCCAGGGGCAAACTGGTTTCCTTATTTACCCTTAACTCAGGTCAGCTGTTGCTGTCCTTCCTACAGATGCATTCTCAGAACCGTCCTGCCTGTCACTTTGTGTGCCCCTGAGACGGTCCCTTCTGTCCTCATTCCCAGAAACACACCTATCTGTTTGCAATCTGAGGGCTAGGCGTTCTGCAGACTTCTTACAGACGTGTGTGAAATAGGGAGCAGGAGGCGGATGGGGGTGAGGATTGAGATTCTCCTGCAGGACGGGGTCTGGGGTCCCTGGTAGGCGGGTGGGCAGCCACAGGAAGGAAAGGGTACGAGTTGTCAGTGTCCCTCCAGAAGGCCTCTGGGGCTTGGGTGCTGTTTCCTTATCTTCTCAGCACTAGAGTTTGCCTGTTTGGGCAGCAAGTGCGGAACTGCCCAGTGGGACCCTGGGGCGGGGTGCCCTCCCGAAGCACCACCTTCTTGTCAAACACAGCTGCCCTCCCGGGTGGGGGAGTGAGCTCCAGAGCAGCCGGATCAGAAAAGTCAAGCGGACAGCAGAGGGCATCGGGCCGCCGGGCTCACCCTCCAGGAAGTCCAGGGCAAGGTGTGCACTGAGGGGGAGACCTTGGGGGCCTGCCGTGGTGGTGGGGCGACAGGTTCTGCTGGGAGAGAAGGTGAACTCCCCTCCAGCAGGCCTCACGGAAAGAGCTGTGTGTCGGAGTGGGGAGGAGCGGGTCTGGCGTCCAGACAGCCACGGTGCAGTCCAGCCAGGGGCCTGGCTTCCTGGACCCACAACCTGACTTCCTCTGCTAAGGGCTTCCTTTGGCCTTCTTCTCTTCGACTCCCCGCCTGCCTGCATCCTCCTGCTTCCTTCTAGGCAATTCCCTCCCTAACTTCTCAGCCTAAACCCAGGATAGCTCCTTGCTAGCCCAGGCTGACGGCCCCCTGGCATCCTGTGCACACGGTGGCCCGCGGCTGAGACGACCCTGTACCTTGTCTCTGTGTGACAACCCTGCTACTCCCTCTGTGCCTCCAGAGACAGCCCCGGGTCCCCACGCGCCTTCACAGCGCCCCCCCCAGTCTCTCCCAACTTGTTAGAAAGGCCCCAAGAGGGAACTTTCCAGGCCGCCTCGTCCTTGGCCTAGATTCACTCCAGGTTTGTCAAGACGCCTCTGATCTTCCTGTCACAGGACCGAAGCAGGGAACCCTCATCCTTGAGCCCCCAAACAGCATTTCGTAAAAACAACCGTACCTCTGGGCCCCCCACACATGCGGGACGGCCCCGGCACCCATGCAATGCATCCAGAATCCACGCGGAGCCACTCCGTGTGCAAGACGGATGTGGGGACCATACAGGCGCTTGCCTACAGGAGTCACACGCCCCTGGGCGGGACACCCACGTCTGTCGGCCGGCACGGCCACATGCGCACACATTCATGGAACCTGGCAACCAGACGCGGGTTCGCTCACTCCCAGGAGCTCTGGACGGACCCCTGCATCCACCATGCCTCGGGCCGTCCCACCACTGCAGCCCCGATAGCCAATTTCTGCTGACTTGATGAGAGCCTCCGGGTTTTCTCCTTTTGCACTTTTCTCCAACCGTCCGCAGTTTGAGGCAATGGGATGAAACTCTCCTGGGCGAGAGCAGCTAGCTTCGAGGTGGAGCCGAGAGGCGGTGGCAGCTGCGGGCACAGTTGGTGCCGTTGGCGGGCTGGGCCAGCTGAAGGCAGGGGAGGGATGGGGAGCAGTGGTGGGGGGGTCTCCTCGCCCACAGCCCATCTGGCCTCCAGGAGGCCCAGCGTCTCTCACAGCCTGCTGGGCAGGATCTGCCAGCCTCCAGAGTCCATCTTCCGTCCGCAACAGGGATGGGGGCCGTGGCGGTGGGAGTTTGGCTGGCTAGGTCCCTACGACTCTCTGCTGTTAGGGGCTGGCTGCTGAGAGAGCTCCTGGGGGGCTCTTGGAGGCAGGGGCTCCAATGCACATTGTGCACCTGGCCCTGAATGTCCAAGGCAGACATTCCAATGTCCTTGGACATTGGTCCAAGGAGACCAAGCCTGGGGAAGCTAGATGGCAGGCCCAGAGCCCTCTGCGGCTCAGGGAGGGCTCCTACGGGGAGCACATTTTCCTGGTTTGCACCTTCCCACTGGCCTGGCTCGGAGCCACCTGCAAACACCCGGGGGACGGGCCTCCAGGAACGGGGAGAGCACCGTGTGAAAGGGTCTGCACCCGCTGGGAGCCTGGCACAGAGGAGCTGCCCCCATCACCGTCCACTGCCAGGCCTGTCATTCTGGAGACAAGGGTCAACCGGTGACATGGCTCCCAGACACCTGGAGCTGAGGGCGGGGCTGGAGGAGCCGGCCACTCAGGGTGTCGGTCAGACCTTTGTCACGTCTGGGTTTATGCGGAGTTGATGGCAGGGTTCACAGATTCTCCTGGCCCAGTTTACTGAAATACTGGAAACACAAATAACCCCCGCAGTGCTATCCGGGCAGACGTTTGGGACAGCCGTTGCTCCACAAGGCTGACCCCACCCTGGGGGCCTCAGAGAGAGCCCCATCATCTTACCCTTTAGCTCTTTGTCTTAAGACAAAATTTCTTCCTGCAAAGAAATCGCCATCCTCCTGCTGATACCTTGGGACAGAGACCAGAGGAGAAGTAGGGTCCCGGAGAGCTTGAGGAAGACCATTCAGGGCAGAGCTGTCCCCTGAGGCACCACCCAGGTGCTGGTAAGGATTTCTGCCTCCAGTCTTGTTTCTGGAAAGGGGTGGGAAAGGCCTCTCACTCCGCCTGCATTCGGAGCCTGTTAAATGACCAAACAGCCGCTATTTGCCAGAACTTTCCTCCATGCCTGATGATTTGTTGTTTCCTCTCCCCTGACTCTCTCAGGACTTCCTACTCAACTGTCCACATCCCTGAGAGGCCCTCCCTGATGGCTCCAGCTCACCCAGCCCCTGTCCCACATCGTCACTTTCCATCCTGGTACTTGTCGCTGTGGGACCCATGTCCGGACACGTGTCTATGGTCTGGTCCCCCAGCCCCTCAGCAGCTCGGGAGGGCAGGGACTCTCTCGCTCTTTGCCTTAGTCCCTGCCGGTGAAAAGAGACGAATGCCTCAGCGAAATGCAAAGAACATATGAATTTTACATAATCGCTTTCAAATGCTTTTGTGTTAATGCTTCATGCATGTTTCTCTATAAGTATATGTAAGTAATTGTGTACACATAATAATATAATTATGTATATGTATAAACACACGTGTACTTACATATACATATGGTGCATAATTTAAAATCAAACGGAGTTGGGTGGGCGAGCATGAGTTGGTGTTTGATCCCGGGCACTGGTCCGTGGTGTGTGTATTACCTCATTTTAAGAGGAGGAATTTGAAGCCCACAGAGGGTACAGCGCCCGCAGTGGAAATTCAGGATTCGAACTCACACCCCGCACCGCCGCACACACACCGCCGCCCCCGTCCTGAATGCTAGCCCAGGGCCTGAGCGGCAATAGGAATCTTCAGTTTATGGTCCTGCTTTGCAACCGGGCATGGCAGGAGGTGGTTGTTTGGCGTGGAGGGGCTGCCCAGGAGGCAGGATCTCTCCCTCGAGGCGGGGATCGACCAGAGCCAGGCCCAGGTCTGTGGCATGCTCCACGGGGAAAGAATCAGATACAGGAAAAAGCCCTCTGCTCCCAGAAAGGAGAGATAGCCTAAGCCCGCTCCAATCACACACTACAATCACAGGAACACCTTTGTTCTTCCAGGAAATAGTGAAAAACCCAGAATTCATTCTCGGAGGAGCTACCAGGACCGATATCTGTCAGGGGGAGCTTGGTGAGTGTGAGGGGGAGGAGCACGGGGGGGGTGGGGTGAGCACCCCGGGGGTCAGCAGGACAGGGCCTCGAGCTGCCCCCCACAGCAAGAGCAGCATGGGACACTCCGGAAGCCCAAGGGGCATAGGGTCTGGGGGGATGTCCCTGCTACCACCTGCTACTTCCTCCTGTCCTCCCTCCCAGTCTGCTCTCCTGGATGGAGCCCCCTGGACTCCAGGCTCCTTGCGCTCTTGGGCCCCTGGGGGCGGACACGCCTGCCGTGTGGGCCTCGGTTCACAGAGAACAGAGCGACCCTGCGGCTCTGGTCCAGCTCCCCGTAGCATGACACAGCTCATACTTGCATGCATTAGAACCCTCTTCTGGCCATAGCACTGATATGACCAATGCCATGCATCCCCACGGGCCCAGCAGAGAGATAAAGCAATACTGCTTTGTTGTTGCGTTTTTTTCCCTTTGCTTTCCATCGCATGGATAGCACCGTCTTCCGAACCCTCCCTTCAAAAGCTCAGAGCATTCCCGGCTGAATAGATCTGAGCTGCTGCACTCTAGGAAAAGAAATGCATTTTCCTACATTGGGCCAAACCATAACTTGGAGGGCGGGGAAGACGTCAGCCCACAGCAGGCCCCCGCCCCCCACCCAGACTCTGGCCCTCCAGGACCACCCCAGATCTGAGAGCAGGGACCACCCCAGATCTGAGAGCAGGGTCCACCCCCCCTACCACCCAGGAGGCACTCCATGAAGTTTGCTGAATAAAGGATCCTGAAAGGTTCTGGGTCCCTTCTCACTAACATCTCCGCATCACTGCTCATTAGCTAGGAGCAGTGGACGCCTGAGGAACCAGTGGCATGTGCCCCGTTGCCAACACCCTAGGGAAAGCCAGAAGCAGGGCAACTCTGTGAGTCACTTTCCTGATGCTAGACCCTCTGCGAGTCCCTCTTGCCTGCATACAACAATCATTCAGGGCTCGTGGGCTCTATGGTATTTTCTAGAAATGGGAACCCCAAGGAAGCCGCACTGAGCATGCTGGGTCTTGAATTCCAATGACGGCGGTGTTACCAACTGCCAACCAAGGGATCTGGGATGAGACAGAGAGGTCCCGTTGGGTAGATGGGTGCTTGCACGGGGCTTGTGGCAGCTGTGACAAGAAGTGCCCGTCCCAGCCTCAGGGCGGGTGAGGGGATGCGTCCCAGACGCTGGCACAGCCCAGGTGAGTGCCGTCTGATGTCTGGCTTCCCTTCGGGGCTGTCCTCTCCATGTGTCAGTGTGAGGTCACGGCCACAGACATCAGCAGACCTTGAAAATTAGAGGTAACTAAAGCTGCTCTCATCTCTGACTCCGCGGAGTCTGTGCTCTGGGGAGGCATCCGTCCCAGAAACGCACTCACTCCCCGAGCCCACGAGGTTCTCAGGCTGCAGCACCCCCGCCGATGCTAAGGTCCGCAGCCCCGGCCCTGTGGTGGGGAAGCCTCTGGAACAGCACAGAGCCCATGTCTGACATCCCCGGACCACGACAGCTGTGCGTGGTAAACCCGGCACGGTGAGAGCCAGAAAGGGAGGCAGAAGGGGAGGACAGACGTACTTGCTGGTATTCCATCCGTTTCCCTAAATGTGGAAAAGATGTGGTCACCTCTGGAACGTCCCACCCCCTCCCGGCATAGAATTTTCCATTCACGGTGAATTGGCAATGAAAACCGTGACGGGTGGCTTTCCTTCTGCAGGCGACTGCTGGCTATTAGCTGCCATTGCCTCCCTGACGCTGAACGAGAAAGCTCTGGCACGGGTCATCCCCCAGGACCAAAGCTTTGGACCCGGTTATGCCGGAATATTCCACTTCCAGGTAAGAGGGAGCCTCGGCCTGGGCGTTAGCTCTCTAGGACCCAGCACGATGCCAGGGGCCTCTTAAGCTGCCTGGTCATCCTGGAAGGAATGACCTCTCTGTGTGAGAGCTGCACCCCAAATCGTGCTGTGTCATGGGGTCACCTCCAAACGCATGAGAAGGATTGCACAGGCCCCGTCGGGGACCCGTCAGTCACATGCTGACATCTGGGAATGGGGGCGTTGGGAGTGAGGCCCCCCTCTCCACTTCTCTCCTGTCCTCAGCCACAACGTTCACACCTGCGCTGTGGCAAGGAGGTCAGCTCAGCGGGCTGGGCCATCTCTAGGATCCCTTGAGCCAGCTCGCCCCAGATGGCCAGCCCCAACTGTGCACCTGCTCCGGGAAGCCTCGAGGCCATGAGCGCCTATGCCCGCAGTGCTTGTGCGGGACCCGAAGTCCCAAATGCCCCTGAGAAAGCCTGAAGTGACACTTGCTGGGAGGGTGACGCTCCCACGGGGCAGCCCAGCTGGGGCCGGTGGTAGTGCCCCATGCCATGCGGCCTCCCAGCATAACTCTTAGGGCCCGTTGCTGGGAGCCCAAGAAATATTCCTTCAAACGTGCACAACCTCGGCCAGTAAGACTGGGGCTCAGAATGTTCCCCCCAAGCTGGAAACCAGCAGCTCCCGGAACCCCTGCGTCTGCTCCCCTCTTCCTACTTTCTCCTTCTTCTTACCTCAGTGTCTCTCTCGGGCCAACTGAATGAGAAGGAACGCACACACACACATGCACACACTCAAACACACGTGCATGCATGCACGCGGATATGTGCACACGGGTGTGAGCACATGCACACAGGGACGTGGACACACACGTGCACACACATCTATGCACACACACTCACCTCATGTCTGCATGCCTGGCACAAGGGTTCTCTTGCCCCGTCACAGCCTCTCTCTCTCTCTCTCTCTCTCTCTCTCTCTCTCTGTGAATGGCCAAAACAAATCAGTGGTAGAGTTTCCACCCCCCGTCAAGGAGGGAACTGAAGGGCACCTGGGTGGCTCAGTGGGTTAAGCCTCCGCCTTTGGCTCAGGTCATAATCCCGGGGTCCCGGGATCGAGCCCCGCATCGGGCTCTCTGCTCGGCAGGGAGTCTGCTTCCCTTCCTCTCTCTCTGCCTGACTCTCTGCCTACTTGTGATCTCTGTCTGTCAGATAAATTAAAAAAAATATTAAAAAAAAAAAAAGGAGGGAACGGAAGATGAAGGGGAAGCTAAGACCCCGGCCTCTGGTTGACGGGACGGTGTAGAGAACCGCGCTGTTGCAAGCGCAGGACAAGCCAACGGCCCGCCCCTCCCTCAGGAGAGCAAAGAGCTAATGAGCCCACCCCGCAGTGTCCATGTGGGACCCTGTCCCATCGGCCCGTGGCGTTGGTGGGTCGACACAGGGTCTTCAAGCCCGTGTCCGTGGCGGGTGGGAGGCTCCGCCTGTGGCTCGGTGGCCACAGTCTGGGTGGTCCATCATGGAAGCCGTGTGAGATTTACCTCCAGAAGAAAGGGACAAGGGACAAGGCTTTACGGGTGGGCTGGCCTCCCCTGGGACTCAACCCCATGATTTGGCCGACAGTTCTGGCAGCACAGCAAGTGGCTGGACGTGGTCGTCGATGACCGGCTGCCCACCTTCAGGGACCGCCTGGTCTTTCTCCACTCTGCCGACCACCGAGAGTTCTGGAGCGCCCTGCTGGAGAAAGCCTACGCCAAGTGAGTGCCCCCCGCACGGGCAGGCCCTGTCCGGGAAGAAGGTCTCCACTCCCGGGGCCTTATCGGGGAGCTTCAGGGAGCAGGGACACAGGTAGACAGGTGTGGCCCAGGGGGACAACTCACCTGCCTGGGGCTTGGTCGGGGTAGGAGGTGGAAAAGGAGTAGCCTGGACAGTTTTCGTGTCATGGCCTCCCTGGGCCCGTCTTTGGGCACAGTGGTGACACACGTCCCTCCTGTGCCTGGCCTCCCAAAGAGCTGGGAGTGTAGGCGGAGGAAAATCTGAGTGGGTTAACAGAGCTTGGCTCTCCCAACTTCCCACCAAGCACCGTTGTAGCTCGAACATGTGGGCTGTGGTGAAAGGTACCATTTTAATCATTTGTAAGCATACAGTTCAGTGACGTTAAGTCCTGCGACCGTCACCAGCGCCCACCTCTAGAACTTGCAAAACTGAAACTCTGCACCCACCCAACTCCAGCTCCCCCTCCCCCACGCCCCTCCCCGGCAACCATCCTGCTGATTTCCATCTCTGTGGATCTGAGGAGCTGAGGAAGCTCCAGGTAAGTAGAATCCAAACAGTCATCTTCAATCACCTCCTGGATGACCTTGGATCCCTCCAGCACCCTTGATTTCCAGCCCGTCAACTTGTCAGCAAAGAGCCACAGCAGCCTGCGTTCCGAGCTCAGCTGACAGCAGAGCTCCCCTGAGAGTCCCTCTTGGGTTGATCCTGGATCTTCAGGCCATCAGAAACCTGTCTTCAGAGATAGGAACTGCAAGAGCACTTGTGCTTTGGATAAAAACTTATGTCTACACAAAACCTGCACACGGATGTTTATTGTGTATTATTCATTACAGCCAAAAGCTGGAAACAACCCAGATGTCCTTCAAGATGAATGGATAAGCGAATAGTGGTACCTCCAGGCAATGGGACATTATTTAGTGATTTTAAAAAATGAGCCATCAAGCCCTGAAAAGAAATGGATGAATCTTAAATGCATATTGTTAAGTGAAAGAAGCCAGTCTGAAAAGGCTACAGGGATACCGTATGATCCCAATCGTATGACATTCTGGAGAAGGCAAAACTATGGAGACCGTAAAAAGATCAGTGGTTGCCAGGGGTTCAGGAGGAGGGAGGGACAGAGATAGGGTTGAAAATGTGGAGCACAAGGGATCTCTTTTAGAGTGGCAAAGCTATATCATACAATACTGTAATCATGAATGCACCATTCATCTATCAAACCCATGAAACTTTACTACCGCACAAAGAATGACGCTTTAATACATGAAGGTTTTTTTTGTTTTTGTTTTTGTTTTTTTTGACAGAGATCACAAGTAGGCAGAGAGGCGGGCAGAGAGAGGGGGATGCAGGTTCCCCGCTGAGCAGAGAGCCCGATGTGGGGCTTGATCCCAGGACCCTGAGATCATGACCTGAGCTGAAGGCGGAGGCTTAACCCACTGAGTCACCCAGGCGCCCCAATACATGAGGTTTTAAAAATCATTGAGAAAGATAAGGAATCCCAGGATAAAATGCAGACCACGCCTTTCATCTAACTGTACTGCAAATTTATGGATCAAACTCATTGCAGGGGTAGGAGAAAAAGGAGCTGACCTGAATGATGTGGGTATGAATGGGGTTTTTAAGACTAAAAGCAAAAGGAATCATACTCGAGCTTTTTCACTCAGGCTGATTAAGTTGCTTCTCAAAGGGGCAAGGATGACAATTCTGATACCATTATATGTATATGCCAATTAAAGAGATGCAGGGCACGTGGTGGAGCTAGGTTTCTCACTGTTGGAGAGGAGGTTACAGAGAAGCAAGGGGAGGAGACTTAGAATGATGCCTATGGTCGTGGGTCAGGGCTGGAGACTCAGGCTGTACTCATGCTTTGTTTAGTAGAGATGGTTCCAGAGGGATCCGTGTATATATCCTGGGTCAGGGTACACACATCATCTCACTTTGTCAGCAGAGAGGCCCAGAAAGAATAGCAACCCCACGGGAACAAGCGCCCCTACTTCGCGGGTCTTGGTGTCTAATACCGCTGTTCCAATAAAGGGAATTTGGTAAAAGGATCCTCGGAGATCACACACACACTGATAGGGTTATGTCAAAGGGACACAGGAGCAAACTGAAGGATGAAAGTAGCCAAGACTGGAACAGTAATTAACAATAACATGAACAAAGTAGCACTGGATTCCAAACCAAAGTACAAAGTAATTATCCATGGGTCCATACTGATATAAATGACTGAATATATAAATTGCAAAAAAGAAGAAATCTTCCATGTAGAAGAATTCCAAGTAATTAAATGTGGAGAAAAACCCCTTGCTCCTTAAGAGAGGACTGAACTTAATGGTGTCCTGCCAAAGAGGACAGCGTGGACAGGGGGAAGGAACGTAACTATGGAGAAGCCTAACGGACATGACCTCCCCCAGGTGCTCAAGGCACCATCAACAGCAATAAGTCATGACGACAGTATGGACCCTGGATGCGATGTGATGAGAGGGACACGCTACTCCTCTGGTCTTCCTCCCCCACACCCTTAGCCCCCGTCTAATCAATAGAAAAACAGCGGACAGATCCCAGTCGAGAGACATTCTACATAACATCAGACAGTATTCCTCAAAATTGCTGAGGTCATGGAAAGCAAGGCAAGTGTGAGACACTGTCACAGCCAAGAGGGGGCTCAGGAGACGTGAGGACTGAATGTGACGTGATATCCCAGTGGGATCTCGGAACAGAACATATGAAGAAAAAGTAAGGAAATAAGAAAGTAGGGACTTTAATAATAATATAATATAATATAATATAATAATATATAATATATATTATATGTAATAATATATAATACAATATAATAATATAATAATTAATATAATAATTATTATGTGTGGGTTCATCACTGTAGCAGGTGTTAACACTGGGGGAAATTGGGGGAGGGGTATACAGGAACTCTACTATTTACAGACTTTTTTTTATAAATCTGAAACCGTTCTAAATGGAAAAGTTTATTTTTAAATTCAAGCCAGAATGTGTGTGTGTGTGTCTGCGTGTGTGTGTGTTTGGGAGCATGTGAGACCAGGAAGTAAAAGAAAGACCCTCGCCTTTTCTCATTCTGTGTATAACTAACACCCTCATGGTCAAGTCCTGTTCCCTGTTCCATGTAAGATGAGGGAGAAGGAGGTTGAGAGAGGGAACCCCATTCAAACCTCACAGCTGTCCTGGGAGGGAGCATACACCCATCACCCCGGTTTTGTAAATTTGGAATCTGAAGCCCTGGGGAAGGGAGTTGTCCCCAGAGCCCTCCGTCTGTTAAGTGGACGATTCGTCCCTTGATGCCAAGGCCCATCAGGGACCAGAGTCCACACTCTTTACCACCACACCGCCCTGCCCGCCTCACAGAGAGCCCAGGATCCTTGGAGCTGCATGGAAAGCTGCATCCCCGCCTCCTACCTTCCTTCCACAACACCCAATCCAGAGCAAGGCCCTCAGAGGAGTTAGAATTAGAGGGGCACCTGGGTGGCTCAGTGGGTTAAGCCTCTGCCTTCGGCTCAAGTCATGATCCCAGGGTCCTGGGATCGAGCCCCGCATCAGGCTCCCAGCTCAGCAGGGAGCCTGTTTACCCCTCTCTCTCTGTCTGCCTCTCTGCTTCTGTCTGTCAAATAAATAAATAAAATCTTAAAAAAAAAAAAAAAACACAAAAACAGTTGTTAGAAAAACTCTGGCCAAGGGGCGCCACCTGGTGGCCTTCCTTGTTCCCTGCAGCACTGTCCCTGCTTTCTCGCCGCCCGACAGGCTGAATGGCAGCTATGAGGCTCTGAAGGGGGGCAGCACCATCGAGGCCATGGAAGACTTCACCGGGGGCGTAGCAGAGACCTTTGTAATGAAAGAGGCTCCAGAGAACTTCTATGAGATTCTAGAGAAGGCCTTGAAGAGGGGCTCTCTGGTGGGCTGCTCCATTGACGTAAGTCCTTCCTTTGCTTGTTCCCGTTCCCGGTGTGGGGTCCTCGGGCTGCGGACCAGCAGGTGCCCTGGTCCTGGCGAGAGGAGGACCATGACTTCCAGGGAGTGGGGGTGGGGATGTGTCAATGTTTATTTATTGTCCTTAAAATGAAAGTTTTAATTTAATGTTCTCCAAATTACAAAGTTAGGGCACACTTCCCGTATCAGGGGAACGATCCTGCCCAAGTCCCAGCCCTGGGACACCTGGTGTGTGCCCATCACACCCCACCTCTTACTGGGACAAACAGGCATGCACCTAATTACACAACCACAGGAGAAGTCCGGTTTGAGTTGACTAAATGGAGTCTTACTCTATACTTTTCTGAAACTTGTTGTTTTTTTTTTTTTAAACTACTTCCTATAGCATTAAATCATTCATATCAGCAGAGAGGGGTCTAACAGGATTTTTCTAATGTCTTTATGCACGCCAACACACACACGTGTAATGTTATTCTATCCAGTTTTTAGAACCCATTCGAGTTCTGTTTCCTCTTGGGTTAACTTGGGAATGTCTTCCTTGCTACTAAGTTATCCCTTTCCTCTGTGTTTCCTCTGTGTTTTCAAGTTTGTGATAGAGTTGTGTGTGACACTGTTAAATGTTAAATGTTCTTATCCTCTCTTTGGTGTATGGGGTCGTACTTCTATCTTGTGTTGGGCTACATGATGAGGGGTGGGATCAAATTGCTCTGTTTAGAGGCAAAAATTGAACTTTTCCCTGGAGTCTGAGCCAAGACTGAGGGTCTTCCTCTCCCTGGGAAGAGCCTGGGAACTGCTGTATGTCACTGCTAACCATCTTCGGGGTGTCCTGTGTACCTACCTGATACGTGTCAGGCACATGGCTCTCAACTGGGGGAGCGGAAGAGGCAGGGCCAGGCACGGAGCTGGGTCTGGGCAGGTAGGGAAGGCTTGACTTATCCAAGGGGTCCAACACTGCTTTTCTTTCACATTTTAGATCAGAAATTCTTCAGAATCTGAAGCCCGGACACCTTTTGGCCTCATTAAGGGCCATGCGTACAGTGTGACAGGAATTGACCAGGTAAGTGATGTGAACACCTTTGGATAGGGAACAGGAACAGACTTGGTGGTGCTGGTCCCTCATACTGACTTAGGGCATCACAGTTTACACCACACCTTCAAACGTTTTAGAGAAGGTCTCATCTAAAGGAGGCAGGCTGGAAACCAAAAGAGCAAAACAGGAGAGAGAGAGAGAGAGAGAGAGAAGCACACAGTACCCACCTGGCTTAGTGTGAGAGTCTTGGCTCATGTGAGAGTCTGGGCTTTGTTTTTTCTTTTCTTTTCTTTTTTTTCTTCCCTAATTCTGTATCAGTCCTGTAGTAGTCAGAGTTCTCTAGAGAAACAGAACCAATAAGATATCAATAGATGATAGACAGATAGATAATAGATGATAGATGACAAATAGGGAATGAGGAATTGGCTCCCATGATTATGGAGGCTGAGAAAACCTATAATCTGCCATCTGGCAGGGGTCTCCCTGTCCAAGTCCAAAAGCCTGAGAACCAGGAGAACCAATGGTACAAGTCCCAGCCTGAGAGAAGAAGAGGACCAAAGTCCCAGCTCAGCAGTCAGACACAGAATGTGAATTCTCCCTTTGCCCACCTTCTCTAGCATTATTCAGGTCTTCGACTGATTAGACGAGGCCCACCTGCATGGGGGAGGGCCCTCTGCTTTACTCAGTCTCCCAATCCAAAGGCTAATCTCATCTGGAAATGCCCTACAGACACACCCAAAATGGTGTGTAACCAAATGTCTGGGTGCCAGTGGCCAAGTCAAGTTGGCATAAAAATAACCATCAAGTACTGTATGTTGGCTAACTGAAAATAATAAAAAAATCATAATAATAACCATCAAAAATCCCATTTTCTGCAGCTGTAGCCCAGGGTGGAACTGATTCCCCAGGGTTCCTAGACCCCACACAGCACCCCTCTGACTTCTAGGGGGTGCTTAGTTGGGACAAGAGCTCCTGAAGGGACGTGTGGGAAAGAGAAGGGGAAAGGATGACAAGGAAGAGAAGGATAAGAAGCCACGGGCCACAGTGTTTCAGGGTCAAGTTCAGCAAAGTCTAAAGGCCTATTTTGTGCTTCTGTTGGACAAGTCTCAGACCCGGTCTGTAGAGGGCTTAGCCCCTCTGGTCTCTCCTGTCGCTGCCCACATTTTGAGTCACACAGTCCAGAGGAACGGGGAGCAGGGAGTATGGAAGGAAGCCTGTCCTGCCTCCCTGTCAGGGGATTCTGAGCGGAGCCTTCAGGGTGGCGGAGGAAATGGGATTCTCTAGAATCGAACCATCGGCACAGGCTCTTTTCCCCCTCCTTCCCTGTCCATAATGCCTTGCCAATCACTCGCTTGAGTAGGCATGTGATTTTTTCATTTTTTCATATTTATTTATTTATTTATTTTTGGAAAGGTATATTTATTTATTTATTTATTTGACAGAGAGATCAAGAGAGAAAACACAAGTTGGCAGAGCGGCAGGCAGAGGGAGAGGGAGGGAGCCAGACGCGGGGCTCGATCCCAGAACCCTGGGATCCCGACCTGAGCCGAAGGCAGCTGCTTAACCGATTGAGCCACCCAGGTGTCCCGGCATGTGATTTTTTTTTTAAAGTTTATTTATTTATTTATTTATTTGAGAAAGAGTGAGCTAGCGAGAGAGAGAACATGAGCAGGAGTGGGGTGGGGGGGCAGGGGGAAGGGAGAAGCAGGCTCCCTACTGAGCAAGGAGCCCGAATCAGGACTCAATCCCAGGACCCCAAGATCATGACCTGAGCCAAAGGCAGACGCTTAACCAACTGAGCCACCCTAGCACCCCAGGAGGCATGTGATTTTTACTGGCACATCTTCTAAATATTTTTCCTGGTAGTAGGAAATTTCCATCACATCCGTTCAGTTGCTTTTCCTTGCTCTCCCCGTCTAATGCGTAGACCTTCCCCGTGCACTTCACTTAATGAACCTCTTAAACAATGGGCTACAAGCTACGTCCTAGACTGTGGAGAGGTCATAGTAACTTTATTTTCACACATCAAAAATACGCTTTGTGCCCAGGGCATGAGGATAAAATGTTTTGAGCTAAAATTTCTGGCTCATGAGTAGAAGTCTTTTACTTCTACTCTCCTTTCTCCACCATCTTGCTAACGTGCACTGGCCCTTTCTCCTGGTCCGGGGCAGGGCACGAAGGTCATGGCCGAGCATCTTTCTTTACTGGCTCGAGGGTGCACCATACAGACAGCAGAAAACCTCCCCTGACACCTGAAAGGGGGGAATATTGGAGTCAGAAGACTTAGAAGTGGTTTTGTTTATCTTTGCTTAAATTCCCAGCATGGGCCTATACAATTTTCGTTCATCTGTGAGTAAGATATTAAGGATGAAGAAAACTCACTCATAGGTCCCTGAGCCCTTTGGACAAACAACTCTTTACCTTTCGCTGTGCTCGATGCCAACAGTACACTGAGAAGTAAGACCCGGTCCCTGCCCTTAGGGCGATTCCAGTCCAGAGAGAAAACTCATTCGTTTGAAGATTCACATGGACTCGTTTCTTGTTCTTTATAGTTCTACTTTACTTCCCAGATACAGTGTATCCGTTCTGGCATGATTCATAATGTAACATAGTTGGTGACGCTAGCCGCTGTACCCACTAGGAGTTAGAAAGTTCCAAGGGCTAGTTAGGAATTGATGAGTTTTGACATGTGTTTGGCGTGTCAGAGTCAAGAGGCTTTGGGGAAAGCCAACTGTGACGGAGGTGAAGTAGCCCAGAGCTCACCATTCCACGTTTCCCTGATGTTTTTGGATTTTACCATTCCACATTGCCCTGATGTTTTTCCCTCTAGGTAAACTTCCGAGGCTGGAAAACGGAGCTCATCCGAGTCCGGAACCCTTGGGGCCAGGTTGAGTGGAACGGATCCTGGAGTGACAGGTTAGTCCCTGCCTCCTTGCCTTCCCGGGGCACAGAGGCCCAGGGCTGTCTTTAGCAGGCAGACGAGGAAGGGCCACTGTGCCTCCAGTTCCCTCCTGGCTCTCTTTCAGGGGACTGTCCTGCGGCTGGGGTGGCTTTACTTCCTCCCTCTTCAGCCCTCTGGCCCACCATGCAGTCAAAAGGGAACATCCTTACAAGGGCTTTTTCCCCTTTCCAGTTACTGTATTTACATCAGTGGATCTGTTTTGTCCCGTGGGGACATGATGCCATCTCCCCATGATGTTGTGAGAGGCTTTCTCTCCAGCGATGAGTGGCTCCAATATGCAGTGTGTTTGTGTGTGCGAGTGTACGTGTGGGGTCAGGCGGGGTGGCTGTGAGTGTTTGAGGTGTGAGAATCCCCAAAATATTGTCGAGCAGGTCACCATGGGGTTCTCTCTGATTGGTCCCTGGCCTTGGTGAGAGGCTGGCCACCCAGTAGAGAGACAGGAATTGGAACAGGAAATGCACCCCTTACAGAGCATTCAACTAGAAACTATTTCTTTGGCCCCCATTATAAAGAAAGTTCTCCCCTGCAGGTGTGTGTCCCCTCCTCGTCCCCAGGAAGCGGCCCAGGTGGCTAAGATCTGGGAACATTCAGATGTGTTTGGGCAGGACCCACCCTAAGCTGCCCCCGCCCTCAGGCAGGACTCTGCCATCTTGGGGTCCCGCTGTTCCACCCCAACCCGCTCACAGCTTGTGGGACTCTGGGGAGAACTCCGGCAAGTCTAGAGCCTGAATAAAAAAAACTTGAGCTGTGTTTGTCCTCAGATCACAAAGAGGCCACCATGTCGCCAGCCATCAGTGTGTCTGTGTCTCTGTTAACCTGACTCCAACCTGAGGGCACAGTGCACACCCCTGGGGGAGCTGGTGGTCCCATCATGGCTCTTGTCCCACCACCTCCCAGCCCCATTTGGATTCTGCCTTCTCAGAGCCCAGGGCCTCGGGCAGAGATGGATTCACACCAACATCACGGGAGGGAAGAGATCAGCCTCCCTCTCCTGGCAGAAACGGAAAGAATGGAAATATTGAAATCAAAGTTAATGAGATGCTTCGTATCACACACAGACGATTACAGTGTCCTTCCATTTAGAGAACACAGCCTGTAAAAGGGCCACTCGTGCCTTCTCCAGGCCACTCGTGCCTTCTCCTGGGAAACACACAGAGGGAGAAATAAGGGAAGTGCATTTCCTGGGGTCAAGGCTGGAAGGCAAGCTTGCCTCCTGTTCCCACTCAGCCTCGGGGTTACAGAGGGCAGGTCCCCATCCTGATCTCTGCTCCTGCCCCTGCCTGTTAGGAGGGAAGTCCTGAAAGCTCTTTAGCTGGGCAGCTGGTGATGGGACAGGAGCCACTCAGAAGGTCCTGGCTCTGGGCACAGCACACAGGACCTGGAGAGGGGCTTCTCCTGGGTCCTTCCTGGGACGAGCTCCGTGGGGCGTGGACGAGGCAGCCACGTTGGCTGGTACCACGTGCTGGTTACTCAGCAGGAACCGCTCGGAGGCGGCTGTGAGGGTCACAGAGACACAGTGACCTTGGAGGTTTCCTAGTGAGCTCACCTACAGAAAGCGTTTAGTCTGTGAAATGTCAAGTCCAAGCAAACATAAGATTTCTTACCGCTTTTCGAAACGTCACTTACAAAAGAAGAGGAGAGATCAGGAGGTGCTCCGGGGCACAGGTCATCCCCGTTCTGGCTTCCAGTTGGAAGTTTCTGCTGTTTTGCTGGTGTTCCACGTCCTGGGATGGTCCCACGATAATCCCCTATGGAGGGGCTTCCCATGAACCCGAGGACCTCTTACCACGGGCTGCTCTTGGACGCCCACTTTCCAACCAGCCTCTAGATCCCCAGGGGCATTTCCGGGGCCCAGGGAGTAGGCACTGACTAGAATCAGTCCCCACACAGCCACCACTCTGGCTCTTCGGGAGGGACACTCCGGCCCCCACCAAGGTCAGTATCCTTTCCGCCGACTTTACTTAATCCTCCTAGTTCCTCTGAGTGGCGTTCCGTGGGCCCAGCTGAGCAACAGCGCCTGTGTCACACAGCTCTGGACGACGGGGAGTTCTGGTACGGTGCTCATCTGTTTTCCTTTCTGTATTAGCTACGCAACAGGTATGAGCGCAGTCCCCTAGAGCCCTTGGCTCGCTTGCTTGCCTTCTGTCTGTCTTTGTTCCATTTCTTTGGTAAATCAAACCCATTTGTCTCAGCCCTTTATGCTCACTCACCTTGGCAGAGAATTTGGTAGGATCGTGGGGCTGAGCCTGCGTCTCCAGCCCAGCATCCCTCCTCCGAACTGTCCCTCATCCAAGTTTTCACGTTGTATTTGAAGACAGACAGGCTGTCCCGCTTCTCCCAGGGGCTGTCCCTTGTCCAGCTTGATGACAAGGGACCTGATGGCAGTGACCTTGAGAGCATCCAAAAATAGACACCTAAGTGGGCAGGAAACATTCGTAATCTGGACTTTCTGCGGGGGGGAATAGCTCTGCCTAACTAGGAGTTTTTAATGGACCTTCACCTCTAGAAGCTTCTTTTGATCTTATTTCTTCCTGAGGGGTCCAGAAAAGAGTTGGCTCTTCTAACCCTGCAAGACCACACAGTTCTGATGTCCAGCTTTCTTCCCTGAGCAGCGAACCAGTCAATTTTGAACGGAGCTCACTTTTTTCTTAAAGGCCTTATTAAACACAGCAAGCAAAAACCAGCACACACTAATAATCTAGCTTTTTCCCTCCTCTTCTCCTCGAGCACAGCCTCTGTCTTCCATATTTTTACAGTTTTAACCAACAGATTGCCATTTGTAATGTGGATATCTATTTTCCAGCTCTAACATTTCCTTGAAGCCTATCTAAGTGCTAAGCTGGTGTCACCTAGTTTAGAAATCCATCACGGTGGCCTCCCACTTCAAGGCACCGAGGACTTAGGGTAACACCAGCTGCTGTACCAAGTAGACTCAGGATGTATGAAAATACAAATGCAATAGAGTTTACTCACTCATTGTACCAGTCCAACAGGACATCCCTGTTCTGTGGGTGGATCTCTTCGTGCTGATTGAGGGACCCAAGCCCCTTCCTCGGTATGGTATCCCCCGGGGTCCCCCGGCCATCTGCAGGAAGCCAGCGGAAGTGGAAAGACAGGAAAGATTGGAGGAGACCCCCCACCCCGCTCCCTAAGAGCCTCGACCCGTGCATCACCACTCACATCCCACTCTAGCTGCAAGGGGCGGGCTGCAGTCCTTGAACCCATGTTCTCCTTAGCTTTGCTTGTTTCTTTTCTGTCTGCCCACACCTGAGTTCTCCCTGTCCTTGAGGATGGGCACGGGGACTCACTACCTGTCGGTTAGATGATTAAGGGAATGAATGGATCACGACGTCACCATCGTCTCCTATGCCTGGTGTCTCTCTGCCCTGTTGCAGGATGGCATTTAGGGACTTCAAGACCCACTTTGACAAAGTGGAGATCTGCAACCTCACCCCTGACGCCCTGGAGGAGAACGCGCTTCACAAGTGGGAGGTGACGGTCCATCAAGGAAGCTGGGTGCGGGGCTCCACAGCCGGGGGCTGCCGCAATTTCCTGGGTTGGTAGTTTGCCTGTCATGCTCTCTGTCGTTGCCAAGAGTCCAGTCCAGCCTGACGGACGTCAGTGGGCCAGCACCAGGACCTTAGGGAAAGCCTGAGTGTGGATTCAGCAGGATTTCTGGGATGGCTGGTGAGGGCTACAGAGACGTAGCAGAAAAACAGATAAGATTGTTTAGGGGAAAATCTTGTTTGGCCTCAGATTATTTCCCATGACAAGTAATAAAAAACACAACTCATGCTAGTTTAGCAATAAAAAGGATTTTTTCCTCGCATGGCTGAAAAGTTCAGAGGAGAAGCAGGATGGGCTTCAGGCATAGTTCCATCAAGCCATTGGTCTGGGGTTCTCTGCTCTGCCCTCTCTCCTCTGTTGACTTCTTCCTCAGTCTGGATTTCTCTATAGTCACAGGAGGGCTGCCAGCACCATCCAAGTCTTGTTGAGCCCTCACTTGTGCACAGAGTCAGCCAATCCCTCTAACTCGGAATTCCTTGAACCCATACTGCCTAGGAAATGCTGCAGGCTGGTTGGCTTTGTTCCAACTCTCTGCCGCAAGAGGGACTAGGTTGAGCCAATCAGCGTTCACCCTCGGAGCAGGGGCTGGGGTGGGTTCTCCTCATGTTGCACAAACACAGGGCACAGTCCTCTTCTCTGAAATACCACATGAGAGAAATAAGATGGAGCAAACCCCCATTTAAAGGAATGTCTTTAAAAAGCTACATGGGAAACGGCTCGAGAGAAGGTAGAGATGAAAGGGAAGCACTTGGCCTTCTCACTGGGGTCACAGGAAGTAGGGCGTGAGGGTCATCAGAAGAGGGAGAGAAGAAATGAATGATTTTCTCAGGTTTGGGAAGATGTGGTGGGGCTGGATGGAGTGTTTGTGTGTGTGTGTGTGTGTGCGCGCGCGCGCGCACGTGTGTGTACTTGTCTTTTGTGCTTTTTTTTGAGGAAGATGAAATAATTCGCCTCTTTCAAATGGCAGATACCTTCTGGACCAATCCACAGATAAAACTGTCCCTGACCGAGAAAGACGAGGGGCAGGAGGACTGCACTTTCCTCATAGCCCTGATGCAGAAAGATCGAAGGAAACTCAAGAGGTTTGGAGCCAATATGCTGACCATTGGCTACGCCATTTACCAGGTGGGTAGGAAGCAAGCCTCTCTTCAGAGCCCCACTCGGGGTGCTGGATCCTCAGCATCTCCTTGTCCACGTGCCCGACTCAGTGGCCAGTCCCCCAACTGTGTCCAAGTAGCCAAGACCAGCGGTCCTCCTCATAGAACCAACCCCTCCCAACACTCTTCACGCCCATTCCAGAGCCCCGGGAGAGACGAGCACCTGAACAAGGACTTCTTCAGGTACCACGCTTCCCAGGCCAGAAGCAAAACATTCATCAACCTGAGAGAAGTCTCTGACCGCTTCAAGCTGCCCCCGGGGGAGTACGTCCTGATTCCCAGCACTTTTGAGCCCCATCAAGAAGCCGATTTCTGCCTGAGGATCTTTTCGGAGAAGAAAGCCATTACCCAGTGAGTAACGGGCTTGAGAATTCCTCTTCAGTTAGTGGCTCAGTCCCTGGGAAGTCACAGAGGACCGTGGGAGCCATGACCCCTTTCTTCCCTTCCCCACGATCCACCTGAGAAAGCAGGCAGGAGGGTCTCCTAACCCATTTGCAAAGCTGGATAATTTCCATTTTAGTTCTGTTCCTTCTGCCCCTCGAACAAGCCTCTGAGAGGTTGCTCTCTCCAAGCCCTCCCAGAACCACGCTCCCCCGGTGATGAATATCACCAGAGTGACGCTCAGGTGGGGCCCTCCACTTTCCAGACCCTGTTGTCAAGAAACGTCTGGAGTGGGACCCACATTGAGAAGTGCTAGACTCATTTTTGAATACAGTGAAGGGGGTGACTGTTACCGGTTTCCTGAATGACCCATTCTTTCAGCTTCAGTTTAAATAAATGTTGTCAAATTGTCTGGGGTTGGTCTCAGCCCATGGACAGCGATGCCATCAGTTAGGAACGCCTGACGGGACTCACCTGGGCAGGTACTGCCCGGGGTGGGTCCCCAGAGACGTTTCCCGAACAGGAGCCAATGCTGAGGCCAGATTGACCCTTGTGGGTCTTTTTATGATTGCAAGACACACCTCAACAACCCAAGGAACTCTGAAAAGACAAGGTTTATTACGTACAGGTCCTGGAGAGCACATGGCAAACCTGGGGCCCCACCGTGATGTCCTGAGGAGAGAGAGAGAGAGCACATAGCCTGGGGTTCTGCCTTTATTGGGGTTGAGGGTAGGGGCCTAGGGTTTCAAAACAGGTTCATTCTTGGTAAACTTCAAACATAAAAGCAGGAATTAAAGTGCTTGAAGGAAAAGCAAGGAGGGGCCAAATGGTCTACCAGAGCTTTCTAAAAAAAGAGAGAACTTCGTGGGTGAGGTGCCTGGGCTTTAAGTCTAGCTGTGAAGCTGGCAATGTGTTTATTGGAGATGGATATCTTTGAAACGGATGCCTGAACCGTCAAAAACTTAATGCCAGACGCTTACTTTACCATCAAAAAAGCTAATTGTCAAGGGCTTATGCTGCACAAGTCGGCCCTCTACTTAATATACCAGACTTTCTGCCACTTCCCCCTTTGCAGTGTCTTAGCAAAATTATTTTGTGTTGGACACTTCTATGAAAAGTTTCCCATTATTCCTTTTGCCATCGGTTGCTCTGCAGCAGAGGGAGAAAATGGTTCAAGATATAAGCATCCCCTCCTTTTCCCAGTAGAGACGTTCTAGAGATGGCGGAGAAGGGCCATGTTGGCTAATGCTGCCTTTGAGCTAGATGAAGCCCCAGCTAGGGACTGCCCTTAGATACTGAGATGGAGCCCGCTGTGAGTTCGTAGCCTCGCGTTCTATCTTTTGTTCAGTGGGATAGGATTGGGTTGGTGGCAGGCCTTGAGAATAACCCCAGTTGTCCAGTCTGGTTGGAGTTCCGGTTCCTTCTTCTCCACTAAATAGAAGCAATTAAAGATCTTCCTTTAATTTTTGAAAATTCTGCTGGAGAGTTGTTCTCCAGTCTTCTTCCAGATACTGGTACAAGCTGAGGATGAATTTCCCAGGATCTGTTCACACAAAAGCGCCCACACGAGAGGCGTGCAGACTGGCAGCTCTTGTGGGTGGCAAGAATGAGAGAGGAAGTTAATCTACAATGTGTTTTCTGCCCCCGCAGGGACATGGATGGGGATGTGGCCATTGACCTTCCGGAGGTAAGCCTTCGCATGGTACTCTGGAGGGTGGGAGTCAGTGACAGTCCCAAAAGTTCCCTTCGATCACAGTGTCATTCAGGGCTTTGAAGTTCAGGGAATGGTTTATCTGCGATCGGGTGAGTGAGTACCTTGATTCCAGTCTCATGGAGGACAAGCCTTGTACCTTCTAAGTCTCTCATGTCCTACCACGACTGGGCATGGGAACGAGGTACGTGCTCTGAAGAAAGCTCCGTTTGGAGCGATGTTTCTCTGGACCGCCAACTCACTCTGTTCCCTGAGAAGTGGCCGTCGCTTTCACAGGGCATGAGATGTCTTTAAAATGCCTTCAGTCTAAGAAAAATAACGCAGAAGAAAATGAGCGTGGCTAGGAGATTCTCTTGCAGAGGACTTGGAGGAACACGTGACTTCCTCCCTACCATATGTGTGTTGTGGGGGGCTGTAGGGGAGGGTTTTATACTTGTCCAGGGGCTGTAAGACTTTGAAGACGTGCTGAGCTATAACTGGGACAGTCTGATGCTTCCCAAGTCAGCATCGATCGGCCCAAGACAAAACTAAAACACCCAATGCATTTGCTGAGCTCTTTCCATGCACTGGGCTCAGGGCTGCCTGCTAGTGACAGACTCCTGTCCTCAAAGATGTCACCACCTGTCAGTTCAGATGGTTTGGCAAGTAATTACAGCCGAGAGTGGTGAGGGGTCTGTGAGAGAAAGCACAGGGAGCCACGGCCACCCCGGCTGGGACCCCAGCTCGGTCAGGACCCCAGCCTCCCTTGGCACTCTTGTCTGCAAAAGTCCCCCTGATTGGTCCTTCCACATTCTCCCTCTAAAGAGCCTTCCCCAGGGATCTGACGGCCGTTCCTAAAGCTCCAGGCAGCGGCCCCTTCTGTTTCCTTCCCACAGCAGTGAGGTCCCAGCCTCTCCCAAGGGACTACAAGGCCTCCAGGGCACGCCTTTTTCTTGCGATTTCTTTGGGATAGCAAACGCCACAAGTCCTTTCTGTGGCTCCAATGCAAGTTCCTCTGGTTGCTTTCTAGCCTCCGAAGCCGACTCCAGCTGGCCAGGAGACAGAGGAGGAACTGCAGTTCCGGGCGCTGTTTGAACAAGTTGCCGGTGAGGTAGGGCCAACTGCAGGCTCCACTTGGCCTTGACCCCCTGCGGTGCTGAGGGGCCTGGTTTCCTCCACAGCAGTTACCAGAGGCCTGGTGGAACTAGAGCCAACGGGAGGCCAGGCCTAGTCATCTGGGAGGGTCCAAAGACCGCCTCCCCCATCAGACTGGGCTGCCGCCTTTGGTGGGACAACGGCCCCCCAGAGGAGCTCAGCCTGGCCTGGGGCTTTCTGTGGAAGGCTAGGGGGAGCCTCAAAGAGGAGCTTCATTGCACTCAGCCCGTAAACCACTGCCTTTCGAATGTTCTGTCTGCTCGGGTGGAAGTTGGGGCTGCTCAGGGATGTCACCACGAAATTACAGATGTGACCTCTGCCGGGTACCATCAGCAGCCCGGCCAGGTTTGGCGGTTCAGGCCAGGACCAGCCCCTGGGGAAGGCGGGATCCGTTCCTTGCCTCCTGCTCTCCGGCCCCTACCCCATTCTTGCCCCCTCGGTTGTCAGCTTGTTTTGGGGGGTCCCGGCCTCTCTTGGGGGCCCTGGGTGTCTCTCGCCCAAGGCTCCATTCTCCTAGAAACTGTCCCACCTGTGCTCCCTCGTAGCCATTAATAAAATGAGCTTGTTTGACCATTTCCTGGAGGGGCTATAATGACTACATTCGCTTCCTTCTCCTGCCAGGGCCCCTGAATCATAAAAGAGTTGTGTTTGCGGGTGGGGAGCCCTGACGGCAGGGTTTCAGGCCGTGTAAGAAGCAGGAGGGCAGGGAGACTTGGGGACGGTTGTCTGGGTGGAGAAAAATGGGGACCTGTGTGGTTCTGTGTAAGCCGGAGCAGGCCAGACGGCCAAAGGGCAGGCGAGCAGGGCCGGGGCAGGGGTGGGGGTGGGGGGGGCGCACATCAGCCATTTCTCCTCTAGGGCTGACCACCCCAAACCCCATTCCCCAGGCCTCAGGAGCTCCAGGCAGGCCCATATGAAATAATTTTACAGGTGACTATTCCGCACCAGTAGCTCAAAACCCTGGACCAAAGGAGACTTAAGTCCACGCGGCTGCTCAGTCGCACATGTAACACTTGCTGCGGCATCCTGGAAAATGCAGATCCTCTCGCCTGGAGGTCTGGGGCAGGGCCTGAAACTCCATATTTCTGACAAGCTTCTAAGGGCCATGGGTGCTGAGCTCTCGTGGGCTTAGCAGACGGCCCCAAATCAGTGGCTCTGAATTCACCCGAGAGGTTTTGAAAATAACCCACGGGGCAGCCTCCCAGTCTTCAGAATTGAAATGGTCCTTGGAGGGAGCCCCCAGCGTGGGGCGAGCCCCCAGTGTGGGCATTGTTCATACTCTGCAGGGGGTTCTGCTGTGCAGGGGCTTGGGGACCCAGACTCGAAGGTCCTCCAACAGAAGTGCCACGTGGGGAGCTTTGCGGGGGTTGGGGACACCTGTCTCCCCTGGCCCAGCTTTTCCATCCTTTCTGGGCGGGGCACGGGCGTCCCTGAGAAGTTAGGCAGGTTGCAGTCTCAAGGAATCAGAACACGGGCTCGCATCAAGGTCCCTGAGGGCCAGCGACATGTGATACTGTGGCTTGAGCCAGATCAAGCTCAGGACTGGAAGCAAGTGACAAAGAAGGCGCTAAGGGCCATCAAAGTGGTCATCTCTCCTCCCACAGGACATGGAGGTAACCGCAGAGGAACTCGAATACGTCTTAAATGCTGTGCTTCAGAAGAGTAAGTGCTCATCCCCCCACCCATCGGGGACCCCAGGGCTCCTCTGGAGGGGATGTGTGACCTGTGACCTCGTGCTGCCTCTCCTCCAGCTCCCCCTGCTCTCCAGGGCTGACTCTAGGTAGACTTGCCAAATAGCTTTCATTGCTTATTTCCTGATTACAGAAATGATGCCAGTTAAGGCAGAAAATTCCGTAAAAATGCAAAAAAGCCTAAAGACAAAGACGAAAGCCTCCAATGACTGAACCACCCATAGATAAACCCCGTTAAGATGTGCGTGTGTGTGTCTCCGCCTATGTGTGTGTGTATTGTGTGTCGTGGTGTGTGTCTCTCAGTGTGTGTACATCTACACACAAGGAATTGTCATCCAATTATAGATACAGTTTTATTTGTTAATGTAACAGCTTTAACATAGAATTCTCATGCTGAACAATCCACCCACAAAGTTTCTTGGTGTGCGGGTTACAGGTTACACGCCGCAGCAGTCAGACCCCACCTCCCCCAGCCCCCGAAACCACTGATCTACTTCCTGTCTCTATAGACTTGCTTATTCTGGACTTTGCATATAAAAAGGATTGTGTGTAGCACCTGGGTGGCTCAGTCCTTAAGTGTCTTCCAGTGGCCCAGGTCATGATCCCAGGGTCCTAGGATCGAGTCCCACATCAGGCTCTTTGCTCAGCGGGGAGCCTGCTTCTCTCTCTGCCTTGCCTGCCACTCTGCCTGCTTGTGCTCTCTGTCTCTCTTTTTGACAAATAAAGAAAGTCTCAAAAAAAAAAAAAAAAGATTTATCCTCGTTGTAGTATTTGCAAAGACTTCTTCCATTCTTTCTATGGCTGGATAGTATTTCCCTATAGGAATATACCAGGTTTCATTCCCCCATTCCTCATGGAGGGCCCTGAGGGTTGTTGCCACTCTCTGGCTCTCGTGATGAATATTGCTGTGAACGTTGGTGAATGAGTCATTTGTGTGGACGTTTCTCCTGGGCATATATCTCAGACAGCTGCTGCCTTACAGGGCAACTCTGTACTTTCTGTTTTAAGGAACCCTCTGACACTTTTCCAAAGTGGCTCTTACGAATGGCAGGCGGATGTTCAAACTTCTTCAGTAACTTCAGTCCTGCCTTTTAAACTGACTTTTTCTGAGCATTTCCCCCGTCATTACACGTGCTTTCAAAATGTCGCTCTTAAGGACCGTGTAACAATCCATCCTATGCACATCACCTTTTCTGCTCTGACCCTTCTGTTGGTCATTTATGTTCTTTCTAAATTTTTTGCCATTACACATAACCAAACGATAAAAGTCTTAATTTGTCATTCTTTGCTTGGGATTCTTAAAACTGGGCTAAATGAATGGAAAGATCTTCCCGTTTTTTATATTGTGCAGTTTTGTCCGCCCCACCCCCACCCAAAGGCATGTCAGTTTCTGCTGTCACCAGCAGCCTGAGAGTGAGCACATGTGCCCCTCCCCACCCCGGATCTGACCCCTCTCTTGTGCTCCCAGCAGCCCGGGTAAGTTAATCTTATCACATGTCCAGTGAATTCTGCTTTCCTGTGTGATTTCAGAAAAGGACGTCCAGTACAAGAAGCTCAGCCTGGTGTCCTGTAAAAACATCATCTCTCTAATGGACGTATCCTTCCAAATCCGTGGTCTGTGTTTTCCCGTCGTGCAGACCCTTCTAGAATGCGGCACCCTTAGCCGGTGGGATAGTCTCCTCGGAGAATACACAAAGACCGGCGGCACCTAGAACTGGAACAGAATCAGGAGGCACAGACCGTCCAGTAGGGAGACTGCTTTTGAAGGGACTTGGGGGTCTGGCTGCCACTTTGGGGTCCCCGCTAAGGGGATGATAAGGGAATGTTTTCATTGTGCTTTCTTGAACCTGGTGGTGCGATGCCCATCTCACGCCTCCCCATCTCACCCCTGCCATTTCCCCTCTTGAGAGAAGCGTGGTTTGCTAATTAAGCTACCTCCCAAGGAGCCCTGACTCTGTGTCACACCCCCCCCACCGGGCCAGCCGGTTGCCCCTCCATCCCTGAAGTCCCACGAGGCACCTTGGGTCCAAACCCTGATTGTCTTCCTTACTTTCTTCCTTAACGTGCTCGGCACAGACCAGTGGCAACGGGAAGCTAGAGTTCGGGGAGTTCACAGTGTTCTGCGACAAGCTGAAGAAGTGGACAGTAGGTGACCCTGCCGGGCACGACCTCTGGGGATTGAGCCAGCCTGGAGCAGGAGGGGATTTCCCGTGGCCAAGGGAGAGGGCCGGAGGGAAGGAAGCGTGATGGAATTCCCAGGTCCCTTCTCGTGCTTCCAGCGCCTCCAGAAGGATCCACGCTTGCCCCTAGAATGAAAGCGAAAGCAAGAGGTCGAGGAGTCTCTCCTCGTGGGCAGGCCATGGTGCCCTCCCTCTGGTTCTCAATGCTTCTGTCCTCCCCGTAGAAACTTTTCCTCCAGTTCGACGCTGACAAGTCAGGCACCATGTCCTCCTACGAGCTGCGCATGGCCCTGAAAGCCGCAGGTAAAGCAGAACCTGTAAGGTCAGGCGTGGGCTGCCCGTGGCCGGGGACTGTCTGTGGACGGCCTCTTGCTTCTCGTGCCCTAGGAGGTGGCCGGTCTTAAACCCGAGGTCATGCTTCTTGAGGGCACAGCTCTGCTCTGTGCCACAGCCAGGCGTCAGGCTCAGGACTCACTCGCTCACGCCGGGGCCCGTGTTTTGAGCCGCTTTGCAATACTGGCAGGAATCTTTAAAATGGATCTACTGAGGGTGAACTTAGCGTGACCCTCCTCTCCGACCTCTGGCCAAGTTTTCTGGCCGAGCTGAGGTCATGTGAGCCTTTGGTGGCAGGCCACATGTGGTGCCCCCAGACCTCTAATTGTTACTTTCAGATGGTGATGGCTGGGAATGATCATGGACGAGGCAGGGCATGCCAGGTCCCAGGATTGAGGGACAGGGAGGAGTTCCTGGAGTTCCTCTGCCATGGGCAGCTCTGTCCCTGGCTTTGTCCCCAGACTCCAAACCAGGCGGTTCAGTCACAGTTCACATCAGCTCTGCACATGAAGGACGCGACCCAGAAAACGCCACAGATGAGGAGGGTCTGATCTTCTTAGGGGCTGCTGACCCTGTTTCTAGGGAGAAGGATAGGGCAGAGAGGAGAGGTGTGCCCAAGTCTTTCCGGGACTGGTGTGGGGGGCAGGAGGACGCCCCCTCTCTCCCCTCCTCCAGCCCTGTGGAGAGCAAATGCCAGCATCTGGGGCATCGCCCGCAACTGACAGCACTGGCGGCTCCAGAAACCTCTCTCGATGTCTGACTGGCCTTCTCCTCTGTCTGGGATCGGGACTGAGGAGCAGGGAAGACCGGGTAGATTTCCAAGCAGTATATTGAACATTTTCTGGAAATCGAGCATGTAGACTGAAGTCCGGGGCGGGGGGGAGGTCAGCGGGGAGTCCCTAGGATGTGGGTTAGATACTGAAGCATTAAATGTTGGATCTAAAGTGACTTTACCTCCCTCAAGCCCTCGTTCAACCAATAAGGACATGAATCCCAGAGAAGTGAAGCAGCCGCCCCCGGCTCAGCCCTGGCGTCACTCACACAATGAGCCCCTGCCCCAGGGCGTCACTCACTGGGGGCTTCAGCATCCCTTCTAGAAACATGATTCCTAGAGCCCTCAGCACCTTTGGGTTAAAGTGCCCTCCTGGGGCGCCCGGGTGGCTCAGTGGGTTAAGCCTCTGCCTTTGGCTCGGGTCGTGATCTCGGGGTCCTGGGATCGAGCCCCAGGTCAGGCTCTCTGCTCAGTAGGGAGCCTCCTTCTCCACCTCTCTCTCTGCCTGCTGCTCTGCCTACTTGTGATCTCTGTCTGTCAAATAAATAAGTAAAATCTTTAAAAAATAAAAAAAAAAAGTGCTCTCCAGAAATGGAGGTGGGGAGGGGGATGGGAGTGGGGCTCAGACACCATACAGCATTAAGGTTCCCCCAAGTGAGGCTTCCTGAAAAGTTGGCAAGATACAAGGGGTAAGTGAATGTCAAAACCAGGAGCGTGACCTCAGGAGCCCACCAGCAATCCCCCTGGCAGAGATGCACAAGGTCACGCTGCATCTAGGCTGAGGACAAGGAGCCCACATGCTGGCAGGATGTGCCCCGAAGGTGCCCCCCACGGGGCCCAGGCAGGACGTGTCTCCTCCCCTCCCCCACAGGCTTCCAGCTGAACCATCACCTCCTGCAGCTGATTGTCCTGAGGTACGCGGACGAGGGCCTCCAGCTCAACTTCGACGACTTCCTCAACTGCCTGGTCCGGCTGGAGAATGCAAGCCGTGAGTGGCTGGCGGGGCTGGGCCTCCTGGGACCCGGTGGGCCAGGGGTGGGGGGAGTGTCCCTGGGGTGGTGGGTACAGCCAGCCAGGCAAAAATCATGGCGATGACAGGTTTTGTCCTGTGATCTCAGTGGTTAGCTGAGGGGTGGGGTGCAGGAGTCTTCTTTGTAGGACTGTCCTTAAGAATCTTCTTGTCTACCGCCTCTGTGTAGGGCCACTCCGCTTGCCCTTGGAGTCATTCTCCACGTGTACACCCTCTGTGTCCTTGTGGGAGGATGGGGCGGGGGGTGGTGCTCCAGCCCCCCGAAGGTCCCATCAGGGGTCAAATCCATTTCCTCTGTCGCCCTCCCTCCACCCTACCTCTGTTTTGTAAGCTCTATGCCCTGACCTGGTTTTTCCCAAACAAGACGTGTTACCCAGGAAGAGAGAGAGAGATTTTGTGTAGGAGGCCCTTAGACTTTGCAGTCTGTGGTCACACTGTCACCAAGCTGAAGCTGAATCCAGGGGCCTAGAACCCGGCACCAGGGTGGCCACCATGACTGGGGGCGAGGGAGAGAAATGCATCGGTGTCCAGGGCCCTGCACCCCTGAGGATGCCCATGCTTGATTTCACACTTTCAGTGTCACCACCACTAAAAATGATTTAAAAATGATCATTAAATGATTAAAATGATTAAAAATGGTGTAAAATGATTAAAATTATTAAATGATTAAAAGTGATCATTAAAAAATGATTTCCATCCATTTTTTAGCAAGGGGTCCCACATTTCCAATTTGCACCAGGTCCCATGAATTACGGACCCATCCTGCTTGGCATTTTCTAAAGGATGTTTGCTAGGTGGCCTCAGGGCACTTGCTAACCTAAGTCAGGGTCTGGGTTCCCCGGGTCTAGGGTGCCAGAGCTCCCTCTGCTTCTGTGACACTTAGAGCCCATGGGATTACCTGTGGAAGCCTGTCCCCACCGAGCTCTAACCCCCCGGAAAGCCGCACTTAGCGGACAAGTAAGGCTTACCTGTGGGCTGATCATGATGGCACGAGGGAGACAAGCCGGTGCTGGAGGGCCTTGCATGCCAAGTCAGCAGGCTGGCCTTTCTCTAGGTGGTTACCACTACTACTACCACTACCACTAGCTGGTAAGAGGTGCATTTTAGAAAGGCCCCCCGAAAGGCAGACACTTACTAGAATTACAAGATGGACAAAATGGACCCAAAGAGAATGATATTTGGTAACTTATCGTCTCTCAGCTGTCCCAGTCCCTTCTAAATGCCCTCAGCCCAGTCCTTCCAAGCCGGGGGTTCTCAGTTTGTTCTTACAAAATCGAGGAATATTAGGGAGAACTCACTTTGGGCTTCACACCCACCTTCTCTGGGATCCTGTAGTTAGATCCACCACCTGGAGAACTTTTTTAAAATACCGAGGCTAGGCCTTCACCCCAGGAGTAGTCAAACTTTTTATTTTCAGAATTTTTAATCTTAAGTATAAGGAATACCAGTCAGTCCCCATGGGCCCCACACCAATGTTTCCAAACTTTGCCACACATTACAACCCCCACACTCCTGGAAGGTTTAGAAAATTTCGATGAACTGTACTGCACAGGAAGCCAATTAATTAGATTCTAGGGGGTGGAACACAGCATCGCTCCTTGTAGCCCACCCCCACCCCAGACGGTTCTAGAGCCTTACACCAGTCTCAACAATGATCATCCTGCTAAGCTCTCATATGTTCTTCTAACATACACTTTTTTTTCCGAATTATTTGATAACAGAGCTCAGAAATCCAGTCCTTCCCTCTGTAAATACCTCTAACGGGCAGGCTTGTCTTCAGCACAGCCCTCCTGCCATCTGTGCCCCCAACACACTTCTCAGGGAGCCCTCAGTGTCATCTAAGAACTGACCCGAGCTGAACTTCCCAGGTCATCTCTCCATGTTTGCTTGCTTGTCTCAGGATCTACTCGCTGCCCCTGGCTGTTGGGTTCTGTCTCTTTTGTTTTATGACAGTTCCCTCCCCCTTTTTGTTCTATTTTTCAAGCTCCTGGGAGACTCTTAGGGGAAGCCAGACTCGACTGGCTTGGCCACTTTGACCAAATGGGGAGACCGAGGCCCAGAGAGGAAAGTAGCTTTCAGGTTATTCCATGCGTTAGCTGTGATGTCCAGCTGGGCCAGCTCTCCGTCCTCCCCCTGCTCCTCCTATGTGTGCGGGAGCCTACGGTGCTCACCTTCTCATTAGGGACTCATAGAGACTGAAGGGCTTAGCTTCACGTACATGTGCTTTTCCTCCGGGGAGAAGGCCCGTGGATCACGAGGCATCTGTAACTCCCCAAAAAGTTAGCACAAGCGTGATGTTTGGGGCCCAGGAGCCAGCTGACTGGCATGTTGGAGAGGACAGCACATGTCACCCAATACTAAGGCCACCAGCTCTGCCCTCCCAAGAATTCAAGAGCCCCCATCGTGCGACAGAAATTTCCCTATAGCCGGCCTGAGTCTGGCCTGCCATTCTAGAAGATCCCTGCTTACCACCAGATGGAGCAGCTCCTCCACGGGCTGCCCTGCAGGGCCCCAAGGTCACTAGGAAAGAAAGAAACCTGTCGAAGGAACTGTCCCCACAATGATGCTTTTCTTGTGTCTCTCCCACCAGGGGTGTTCCAGGCTCTCAGTACAATGAACGAGGACAAGGAGCTCATTTGTCTCAACATAAACGAGGTAGGATCCAGCCGGGGCTAGTCAGAGCCCCGCCCTATAAATGTTTCCTCAATGCCTGTGAAGGTCACACTTGACCTTGGCAGGTAGTAACAACAATGAAACTGCTAATATTTTTAGCTACTAGTCGGTTAGCAGCCAATGCAATCGTTACAATGGTCCTGTGAGCTAAGAATGAACAGAACCCCCATTTGGCAGAAGTGGAAACTGAGGCATAAAACGATTAATCACCTGGAACAGAGTGAGCAAGCAAACGCTGCGTTCTTCTTCTCTTCCTTCTGCCATCTGGGTTCCTCAGCCTGCCTGCCTTCTAGCTTCCGATTTGCTCACTCTGCTTGCTCTTGTTGTCCTGTAGGTCTCATGATTCTCAAAAACCCTGAGAAAGACACAACTTTTACCAGTTACAGGGCTAACGACAGCAAAAGTGATGGAGGGAAGAGCACGGATCAGAGTTTCAGAGGCTTGAAAGAGGTGTCCCAGGGCTGCAGCATCCTCTCTGCCTGCCCAGAGTGTGGTCCGCTGACCAGCAGTGTGGGCATCACCTAGGCGAGCTGTTAGAAATGCAGCATGCCACGTGGTGATTACAGTCCACAAGACTACTACAAACTTCAGAGCTGCTAAGAGACTACATCTTAATTGTTCTAGCCACGAAAACATAAATGATAATCATGTGACCTGAAAAAAATGTTAGCTAATCGCATTGCAACATATAAATGTATCAAGTCAACACATTATACACATTTACACAGTGTTCTGTCAGTTATATGTCAATAAAGACAATAAAAAAATCACACAAACAAGAAATGCAGAATACCAAGCCCCACCCCAAACCTGCTGAGCCAGATTTCATTTTAGGAGGATCCCCAGTGGTTCCTACACATACTAAAGTCAGAGAACGCTGCTTAGATATTCTTCTGCCCAAAGGCAGGGAGGAGACTATGGACCACCTCCCTTCTCCAGTTACTGTGATTTCTGTTGCCCATTTCCCCCCTTTCTCTCCCTGTGTCCTCCTGTTCAGCTCTGTCCTCCCTTGGACCCAACAGTAGCAACTCGAGTCTCCGTCACATCTCTGAGTTCTTCTCCCACCCACCCTCTTCAACATCCGCACTGCAGACACGGTCTCATTTCCAAGCCCAGTAGCAATTTTGGATTTGGGTTCCGCTTTATTGACTATCAAGACAAAGCGGTGGGTGACAGTGTGTATCAAATGGGATAGAACTTCCCCTCTGTGCTTTGATTTTGTTCAATTCAGCTGCTCTGTGCCTCAGTTTCCCCATCTGCAGAGAGATCGAGGCCTTAATCTTACAAAAAGTTTGGTTTCTAAAAATATCATATAATTTATTGTATCGGTTCATTTCCAATGTTCTCATGGGTGTATCTCAGATCCCTGAACATACTGTAATTTCCCTGAGGACAGAAACTGGGCATTTTCCTTTTCTAGTATTTTCTCTACACTTCAGTGCACACTATACACGCAATAAATTAACTCCTCTGACAGACAACCATATAGAAAACCTGGGGGGGTCCAAAGAAAGATGTGCATATTCAAACTGGCCCCTTCTGAAAATAAGAGGGACCTCCAGACCCAGATTTCTCAATGACGTCAACATTTGGCCACTATTAAGCATGAAGAAAGGACCGTTACCACCTATCCAGAGTGCAGGGGTAGAGCAGGCAGGTTTGGTAGTCAACACCCTCTGGCCAAAGGCTTCAAAGGACCAGAAGCATGGAGGAAGCTTTCCATTGCCTCAGAGTCAAGGTGTCACTTCCAAACCAAGAATCCACAGGTGCGGGGGCTGGGACAGGCTCTCTCTACTCTCCACCCTCCCCTCAACAGACCCAAGTCATGTGCTGTGTGCTTTCCTGCCCAACCCATAGTTGTCCATCTCCAAAACAAGAGGAAAAATCTTTGAGCCTTCTCCCTCTCTCTCCCTTCAAGCCTGTCATCCTCAACTCTGACTGCAAGATAGGATCACCTGGGGAGATTTAAAAACCCCAGTGGCCTGGCCATGACCCAGACCAATTAAGTCCAAATCTCTGTGGTGGGACCCAAACGGTGATATTTTTTAAAATTCCCAAGGAGTGCAGCTTGCTGCCAAGTTCAAGAAGCCCCTCCCATCCATCCGTTAGCAATCGGATCCTTGCCCCTCCTACGGTTATTTTTGCCTAAAGAGCTTATGGATCTTCCTCTACCCAGCTGCCTTCCCTGACCCTGGCCTTGGCATACACTGTGTCTAGGAAGTGGGGCACAGAGGAGAGAAGAAACCATCCCATAGAATCGTGTTCTCCCATGACTATGTTGTGATAAGAAAGCAGGGGCAGGATGTCCTCAGGATAGAGAAGGAACCACATGCGACTTCACTAGTTCACTTGTAAAGAGCCCCGGGTGCTAAGCCTGCAGCCTCTTCCTGATGGAGCCCCTCTGCCCTCCCCATCAGGGGACCCCTCGACAAAGAGAAGAGGCGTTTCTTATCGCCCTGCTTTAGGAGCCTCAGGAAGGCTCTTTTCTTTGCCAGGGAGAAAGCACATTTCTCTCTCTCTCTCTCTCTCTCTCACCATCTGCTCTTGACGTGAGCTAACTCAGAAAGATCTCAGGACCTCTGGAAAACTGAAAGTGCTGGGAATTCTTTTTTTAAAAATATTTCATGTTGAAGAACGAGTCCATATTCGCAGGCAGGATGATCATATGGCGGAACTGCTGTGGCGTAAGCAAACCAGGCTGGTAGGGGGAACCAACTCTCACTTCCTCTCTCTGTCTTCTCGTTCCCAGTTCGTCAGCTTGACAATGAACATCTGAGGCTTCCCTGGCAAGAACGCAGTCTGTCCAGCTGGGTCTTGACTTTTCCACCGTGAACTTCAGAAGGTTTCTTGGTGTAGAGCTCCCCTCCCATTATCCAACCTTCTCCTCCCCCTGCCCCACCATCCTGATCTTGGAAGAGTGAAATGGACTCAGCTGTGATCTCTGATTTTATGCTACTTCTTTGTACAATCACTGCCCTAAGACGAGCTGATGCCACGCCCTGTGCCTTACACTCAGGTTCAGGCGTTGTTAGCAACTTCTCCCCCTACTCCTTCCCACCTCTTCCCAGTACTGATTATCCAGAGTGTAAGTCAGTGCACAGAACCCTGGATTCAGTGGAGTGTCAATCATTATACTCCAACATCCTAGACAGGACAAAGGACAATGTTTTTGTAGATGTGTTGGGGCCTGAGATGAGAATAGAAAGGTGTGATGTCATGATTACGCCTTTTCTTCATCCTACTTGTGTTTCCTTATAGGGGGGATCCCCAGGGAATACTGGATGATTACTTGCAAGAATGGAATGTTAACTAGGACAGTCTCTGTCCAATCCAGACATCCTTTGTGTCTAGAGCTTTGGGTCAGAAAATCCAGGTGCAATGCTCCTTCTTCTCCATAGTCCAGATTCAGGTCAGACTGGATTGCATTCACATCTACCATGATGGGGAAGAGCAGAGCGGAGAAGCCTTGTTTTAGCTCCCTGACACTGAATAGGAAATTCCCCCCAAATTGGGATAATGGGAAATAACATGATATTGCCTCGGTAAATGCTAGGTCTTGTTTTCTTATTTATATACTTGTGGCAGGTGAGGTGGAATGGAGGGGCGTGCGGAGAGAGGAGGGGAGACAATGGTTGGGATGAAGATCAAGTTAGAAGTGAAACTTCATCAGATCCCTGTCCCCTGGCTGAAGATGCTAGGGCAAGACGATCTCTTCCCACTTCCCTGTGCTTCCCTGAACTCACCCAGCAATAGCAGCATCATGCAATAACAATGTTTCCTAATTCCTGTCCTTGATACTTGACATCTTGAGGTCTGGCTGACCCCGGAGGGACTGCCCTTCCCAGAGCTAGTAAATTCCCAGAGATAGTGTGCCTCCACATACAAGCTAACCAATCCAGAGCCCACACCCCAACCACCTCCTCCAGGGGACTTTCACACTCCACACCACTATCCACCTGCCCTAATCACTGCAGGGCCAGGTTCCAGACAATTAGGGACACTTCCCTGGCCCAGAGCTGCTGAAATTATTCAAACTAGGCAACCCTCAGAGTGCTTACCCTGCCTCACCCATCCCTTCCCACGAAAACCACAATAAAGACTCTTGCCCATATTTTTCCCCTTGCTCCCTCTGCTTCCTGATCAACCCTGCTGCCTGTCTGTGTGGCCCTGCATGACATGCCCTTCCCCTTCTTTTGGGATTGGTGAATATAACAAGTGACCTTTTCAATAGCAATTGTCTCCTGATCTGTTGGTCTCACCAGATAATAATTTGAATTTGCAAGAAATGAACAGCACTACAAATGATATCTGTGGGTGAATATAAAAGATGATAAATGTTTTTTCTCTTCTAATTTTGTTAAGAGACATAAGATTATACAAAGCAATAATTGTAACACTGTATTCTTAGGTTTGTAATGTATATAGCGATATATAATAATAATAGCACAAAGGAAAGGGAAGAAATTGAGATACATTGAAGCAATATTACTATATTTTTACTGAAATTAAGCAAGTATTAAACTGAAGTAGACAGTATAAGTTAATATGCATATTGCAATCTGTAAAACAACCTCTAAGAAAATGACAAAAATGCAGTAAAGCAACAGAGGAATCAAAATGGTATACCTAGAAAGAGTTGTTTAGCGCAAAAGCCATAAAGGGGGAACACATTTTCAAAATGAGACACAGAAAACAAAATGGTAGACCTAAATCCAACCACATCAATAATTACATTAAATATAAATGGATAAACACTATAACCAAAAGGCAGTGATTATCAGAATGGATTTAAAAAGCAAGACTCAATGGCTATCATCTACATGAGACACACTTCACCCAGAAAGACAAAAATAGGTGGAAAATAAAATGATGAAAATGGTATACCATGCCAATGTAGCAATAAGTGAGCCAGAGTGGTTATGTTACTATCAAAAAAGTTAACTTCCAGGGGCACCTGGGTGGCTCAGTGGGTTAAGCCTCTGCCTTTGGCTCAGGTCATGATCTCAGGATCCTGGGATCAAGCCCCGCATCGGGCTCTCTGCTTAGCAGGGAGCCTGCTTCCCCCTCTCTCTCTCCCTGCCTCTCTGCCTACTTGTGATCTCTTTCTCTCTGTCAAATAAATAAATAAAATCTTAAAAAAAAAGTTAACTTCCAGATAAAAAATATCATTAAAGACAAGAAGGATCATTACAGGATGATAAAGGGTAAATACATTAGGAAGATAAAACAATTATAAAATGTAATACTACCTAGTAGTAGAGAGTCAAAATTTATGAAGCAAAAATGCATAGAATTGAAAGAAATAGCTTAACAGTTAGCTCAATACCCCACTTCAGTAAGTGATAGAGCAGCTAAACAGAAAATCAGCAAGGATGAGATAGGCCAGTGGACCATCGTGAGGGGTGGTCACACCTCCAGCCCTCTTCCCCCCAATAAGAGAGATGCCCCACCTCCCCAGTATCTGTCCCTGCAGGGCTGCCCTCACCTCACATCAACTGCAGCCCTGTGGTCACATGTAAAGAGCTTCACCCAACCCAGGGAGTGGAAATCTTTCCCCATGGATCCTTAGACAAAGCCCTCAGGCTCTACCAGGAGGGAGCCATGGGCCACAGACACCTTTCTCTGAAATGCCCCAGGCTCTTCTCGGCCCTGCGCTCTACACATCACGCTGTGCCCTGCGATGCCAGAGCTTAGAAGAGCACCAGAACAGGGGCCCCAGTTGGCGGGAGTCCTGGGGTCAGTGGTGCCAGATCTGCTCAGCACTCTGGATCGTTCGTGGCAACAAAGTACCATTCTCCAGAGTGCCAAGACCGCCTGCCAAGCACCAGTGTGGGCTGTGTTGGCAGCACAGCTGCGAATCACTGGAGGCTGGGCTTTCTACTGAGGTTCGCCTGGGGCATTTTCCCAGCCCCACGGTGTCTTTCTGAAAGGGGGCAAGGGGCTGGGGGCTGAGGGGAGTGGGAGAAAGGCTCTTCCTTGATCCCTGAACGGCACCTCCGGGTGGAAGGACATAGCCCAGGGATGTTCTTGAGGTGATTTATCTGTGCATTCCCAGTCAAACTCTGCGAGGAGGAAAAGTCTCTCTCTTTCCATAGTCAGGCAGCCGAACCGCCTGGAACAAATGCAGGATCACATGATGCAAATGGCATTGGGTTCAGAGCACAGAGACCTGGACTCTAGCCTGTCATTTACCTCCAGCGAGCTGCAGGACTTGAGCCATATCACTTAACTTCTCTGGGCTGCTTTGCACTACACAATTATAGGATTCCCTCTCTAATTCTGGGTCTTTGGAGGCGAGTCGAGTGGGGCTCAGTCCTGGCCCAGTGGGGCGGATGGGGAGATGGGTGGGAGGTAGAAGAGGTCGGTACCTAATTCCCTGACAAATCTCAGCGTTCTGAGAAGAATGAGACAGTCCAGAGGAATCTCTCCAGGCCACATCAGCACCTGGCTTCTAGGACATTCTCTGTCCTCCTCCTTCCTTTTAGCATCCCCCCATGCTTCTCCATCTTCTAGACTCACCAGAAGTCAACTGTCCATATGACTTAGCTCCCTCTCTATTCCCTCGCAGTTGAACTCGAGTTTCTAATAAGACAGTCATCCACCCAGATGGTCTCCCCATGGTGACTTCTCAACCCACTGCGGGAACAGACTTCCACCCCCCACCACTGTGTGGCACCGCTGGTGGGATGAGGCCAGCTCCTGGGGAAAATGGGGACGTCCTCCTGTGTGGGGTTTCTGCAACATGGGATACTCCTGGCCATGGTCTTCTTTCTGAGCCCACTCCTTTGCTCTGGGCACTGTTACTCCCTGGCTTCCCCCTGCCTTCCCGCCAGTCCCATTCCCATGCTCCTCTCCTCTGTTCGGACTTGAATATTGGTGTCTTTGGGACATCAGGGCTTTCATCCCACTCTGCACACATCCGTATTTTGGGTGCTTGTAGATTCAGTCACCATTTCTACACCACTGACCCCCAACCCCAGGTCTTCCTTCTGGCCCCTCCTGAGCTCCTTGACAGCCTAGTGAGGATGAGAATCATCACTACACTCTACCCAGCTCTGGGCGGGGGGGGGGACTCTGATGGGCACCTCCATTCTGCATTCTACAAATATCAAACACTCAGCCAGCGCTGCGATGGGTGCCGTGTGACCCTTCCCACTTAAGATACAGTCAGGCCTCCTCCTTGCCTCCAGGAAAATGCCCAGAAATCAGTACGGCCCCTCTTGTCACCAAGCATGTTCTCAGGATGCAGCCCGGAGCTGGGGCGGCTGTCCTCCCATCGGAAACCATGCCTCGAGCCTGGCTGGATCACAGCACTGCCTCTGTGGGTGTCCTCTGTAGACCGGGGACGACTCACTGGTGGGGATGGGGGTCGAGTCATACCCATCTCTGGTGCATCTCACGTGCACAGAACAGCTTCTGGTCCACAAGAAGGTTTGGGCTCTCTGTCCCTAATGCGCGCGGACCACAAGCATGGAGGAAGGGAAATCAGACCCAGAGTATGTGTTCCTCAACCCCTTTGATCCCTTTGTTCCATCACAATAGGCTTCGCTTCTGTGGCTCCATGAAGGACACCCACTGAGCGTCTGTTTCCTGGCATGCAATGCTGGCTACACTCTGCTCCAAAAGCATGCAGGGTGTTCTGTTCCGGAGACAGCATTATGCCTTCCAGGATAAGACAAATTTCAAGCACACAGGGCGGTGTTCATTGAAGCAAAGAACACTCTGGTACGAACCTTTGATAGGAAACAGATGCAGGTCCCTTTTTCTAAGCAAAAGAATCACGGTGCCGTTCACAGAACACGCCTGCTATATTCAAGAAGTAGAAGTTTAAAAAAAAAAAATCACCGCATCTGAGCAGCGTTCAGTTGGTTGAAAGTCCCTGGAAAAGTCAGAAAATGTGGGATTGAGATCCCATGTCATGTTTATCTCTATTATTGCAGTTGGTGGAAACATATAAAAGTCGGGCTGTTTTTGCAAAGCTGATATTTCTTTGGCTGGTAATTGGTCACTGTGTCTACAGAAATAGAACTTTCTTTCGCCAAAATCGCAGATATACGTGGCTGTGGGTGGCTTCACATCTACTGATTCTACGATCTGTGTCAGCTCCGTTGATTTCTTTCCCTCGTTATGGGTTGAGCTTTTCTGCTTCTTTGCATGATTGACAGTTTTTTTTTTTTTAATTTTGATTGCCTGCATAATGTTCTGACTTTTACCTTGGTTGCTGGGTGGTTTTATATTCCTGTAAATATTCTTGA